GGTCAACCTTAACAACAGATGATGTCTCAAATATTTAGTTCGTTGAAACATGGAGTGTTTTCTTAGAATTAAAGCCATTAGTATTCATGTTTTACTAAAATTTCCCTGTCAAGTGAAAGAAAAAATAATAAACAATTCTAGCAGTTAGTATTTTTAAGCAGAGGGTAGTTACTGAACCACTTCATCAGGTAGCAGCTAACAGTAATTGATATTTAGGCACTAAGGCTAAGGTACTAAGCACTGAACATCCCGTATCATGTAACTATTTCAACAGCCTTAGGTTTAAACCACAGGAAAATGTCTAGAGCAACATCTCTCTCAAAACTTTGAAGCATTGGAGGAAAAATGGAGAAACTAGATCAGATAGTTACAAAACATTCTTTAGGACCTTATATTCCTAATGGTCCTTGTAAACCTCAAAGATAAGTTTATGATATGTAGTGTTTATTAAAAATTTGGCCTTTCCTTGAAATTATCTTTTTAGGAACACTAAAATAATTAGTAGAACACAGTGTTCTAGAGCAGTAGTTCTCAAAGGGTGTTCTCTGGACCGGCAGTTTCAGAATAATGTGGGAACTTGTTAGAAAAGCAGATTCTTGGAATCCACACCAGACCTGCTGAATCAGAATCTCTGGGCAAGAAGTAATCTTTTTAACAGCACTTCAACTTAAGAATCATTGTTCTAGAATTTTACAAGATTGGAGTAGTTTGCTGTGGACAATAGTGAATTGGGATTTCAAGTACTGTATATTTGTATATCAAAGGACAATATTAAATACCTTGAAATTGCTTCTGTCATGTACAAAAGTTAGCATTATCTCACAGATCTTTTAAAAAATCTTATTGATTGTACTTAGTTGTAGAATGTAACCTATACTTTATCATTTTCAACTTTTTATCTTTTCTACTTTGGTATGTTGTGCTTTATAATAATTATGCAAACCTCTGAAGATTTTGTACAGTTTTAGTTCCAGTATGATTACTGATTGGGTGTGAAAATGTGACAAATCTTATAATTATTTGAAACCTCATTTGTAAAAATAAGAGGTCTTATGGTTGTAAAACTTTACTTATTTTTGCAGTTTATTATGCTATTGATTTTTTTTCAATAACAAAATGCTTCAATTTAACTTTTTAGATTTTTTAGTTAAGGTAATACGTGTAAATAATTTTAAATATTCTATAAGGCTTATAAGAAACAGCATTCCTATGTCCAACTCTTTGCCTCTGATCTTGCTATTGCAGTTTATAGTTTATGAACAGTATGCTCAAATTGATTGTTTTTAAATTTAAATTTATATCCACAGGTTTCCTATATAGAAGAGATTTTTAAAAAATGATTAATTTTAATTGACAACTTACACATTCAAAGAGAACTGTTTTAACATTTTATTATCTGCATACAGTGTAGGATGATTACATCAAACTAATACATGCATCACCTGTCTTATTCTTCACAGTGAGGCATTTGAAATTTAGTTATTTTGAAATGTACTTTGATGGTTTGTAATCTACTGTTCAATACGTTTCAAAGTATACTTCGTCTGTCTGAAACTTTGTACCATTTAATCAACTGGCTGTTCTCTATTCCACTCCTCAAGCCTATTCGCAGCCTCAGATAACCATTGTTTTGCTCTTTTTATATGAGCTGAACTTTCTTTATATTCCACATATCAATCTTTCTGTGCCTGGCTTATTTCACTTTTATATATATCCTTCAGTTTTATCCATGTTGTCACAAATGAGGAGATCTCCTTTTTAGGGTTAAATAGTATCTTCTTTGGCATGTACACATTTTCTTCTATTGGTGGACACTGGCAGTTAACTCTGTTGTCTTTGCAAACGTGAGTGGTATTGCATTGATGATTCAAGTTGCAAACTCATTGACACCAATTTCATTTCCTTTGGGTGTATTCCAAGACGTGGGATTACTGATTCATGTGATAGTTAATTAGCTTTTTGAGGAACTTTCATACTATTTTCTGTTATAAATATATTAATTCACATTTCTGCCAACAATACACAAGAGTTCCCTTTATACTGCGTCCTATTAGCTTTTTGTTAAAAGCCATCCTAACATGTAAAATGATACCTCATTAGTTTTAATTTACATTTATGTAATTGGTGATTCTTGGCTTTCATATGTACCTGTTTTCTATGGCTTTTGAGAAATACTGTTCTTGTGTTTTGCCCATTTTTAAAAATAGCCTTGTTTTCTTGTTTGAGTTGATTTCCTTATATACATTTTGGATATTACCCTATCATCAGATATATGATATAAAAATTCCTATCCTGTTTTTTTGTTTGTTTGTTTGTTTCGTTGTTTCCTTTGCTTTACTGAAGATTTTTAGTGTGATCCTCCTCTTTGTTTCTGCTTTTGTTGCTTATCCTTTTGGGAGTCATAAAAATGTTCCCAAGACTGTTAGATGGTTTACTCATTTTCATGTAGATTTTATATTCAGTGCCTTCACACTGAGCTCTGTACCCTGTGCTTTTTGTTTGTACTTTGAGACAAGGTCTCATCAAGGTGCTAAATAGCCCAGGTTGTGTTTGGATTTGAGATTTTCATGTTTCAGCCTACAACAGTACTGGGATTATAAGCATGTGCCACTATTCCCAGTGTGGAGTTGATTTTTTGTGTGGTATAAAATAAAGATCCAGTTTTCTTTTTTTCTGCATCTGGATATTGTAGATAGCCAGTTTTCTCAATACTGATTATTAGAAAGACTAACCTTTCCTCATTGTTCATTCTTGGTACCTTTGTTGAAATCAATTGACTATACACATACAGATTTACTTCTGGGCTTTGTATTCTGTTATACCTGTCAGTGTATGTGGTTTGTTTGCTTTTGTGATAGTGGAGATTGAACCCAGGGCCTTCACACTGAACTACACAGTCTTTTTTTTAATTTTGAGACAGGATCTAAGATTCCTAGGCCGGGCGCAAAATGGGAATCCTCCTGCCCCAGTCTCCCAGAGTGCTAGTATTATTGGCAGGCACTGCCATGCCTAGCATATCTGTTTTTTATTTTATTGCTTTGCTGTTACAGTGCTGTTTTAATTATGGTTTATAATAAGTTTTAAAATCAGTGGCTCAGATGTTACCAGCTTTGTTCTTTTTGCTCTTGATTGGCTGGGGTTTTTGTTTTTGTAGTACCAGGTATTGAACTCAGGGAGTGCTGCACTACACCCCCTACTGCTTTTCTAAATTTTAAGAAAGAATCTGCCTGAATTACCCAGGTTTTGGTTCTATGCAAAATTTAAGGTTTTTCTATTTCTGTCAAAAATATCATTAAATTTTTATAAAGATTGTGTTGATCTTTAAATCACTGAGTAGTATGAGTATTTTTATAATATTGATAGAATACATAGACATAATAGTTTTCCATCTTTTGTGTTTTCTTCAGTTTCTTTAATCAGTTTCAAGTACAGATGATTTTTACTTTTTCAGATGCATGTGTATTTTGTGGTTGCCATTGTAAATTTTCATAATTTCCTGTTTTGATAATTTGTATAAGATATGGAACTATTTATGCAACTTACTGTTTGTTCATTAGTTCTAATAGTTTTTTTTTTTTTTTTTGATAGAGTCTTTTAAAGTTTTCCATATGTGAGATCCTATCAGCAGCTGCATGTTTGGTACATGCCTATAATCTTAGCACTCATGGTAGGCTGAGGCTGAAAATCTAAAGTTCGAGCCTAGTGTGAGCGACTTAGTGACTTAGTGGGACTGTGTCTGAAAAACGTGTTAGGGATGTCTCTCGGTAAGGAATCCTTGGGTTCAATCCCTAGTAGTCCCTCCCCCCAAAAATATTATATCTGCAAAACAGTTTCACTTCCTCCTTTCCTATTATTATTATTTTTATTTTTTTCTCTTGCCTGATTGCTCTGCATAGGACAGTGTACTGTATATTGAAGTGGCGATAGTGAGCATACTTGTCCTTAACCTTAGAGGAAAATATTTCAACATTTCTCCATTTAGAATGACCTTAACTACAGATTTGTCACATACGACTTTTATTGTAGTATAGTGCATCCCTTAACATTATTGCCTAACCTGTTAAAAGTTTTTATCATGAGGGATAATTGAATTTTGCTAAATGCTTTTTTCTGCACCTTTTGAGGTAATACAATTTTTACCCTTCATTTTGTTAATGTATATTTAACATTTACTGATATGTGTTTATTGAACAACTCTTTAATCCCAGAAATAAGTCTCACATAATCGAGATGAATAATTCTTTCAATTTTTTAATGAGTTTGTTTCTATAAGTTTTTGTCAGTATTTGTGTTCACCGGAGATAATGGCCTGTAGTTTTGTTTGCTTATAGTGTCCTTGAACGATTTTGGTTTCAGGGTAATGCTAGCATCGTGAAATGAGTTTGGAAATATTCTTCCCTCTTCTGTTTTTGAGAAGAGTTGCAAAGGATTGGCTTTAGTGCTCTTTCTAATTGCTAGAATTCAGCAGTGAAGAAGTCAGGTCCTAGGTTTTTCTTTGATATTGTTTGTAATTGATTCAACTTACCAGTTATTCATCTTTTCACATTTTCTTTTTTATGGTTTAGTCTTAGTATGTTGCACATGCATAGAAATTTATTCTAGGTTATTCAATTTTGGCATAAAATTATTCATGGTACTTTCTTAATGATTTATATTTATGTGGTTTCAGTTTAAATGTCTCCTTTTTCATTTTTGCTTTATCTGTGTTCTCTTTTTCCCAGTTAAAGGTTTATCTATTTTTCTCTTTTTAAAAAGCAACTGTTTTCATTGATTTTTTTCCTATTCTTCTTCTAGTCACTATTTCACTTTTTCTGCTCTGATCTTTTTTTCTTTTGCTTGCTTTGAGCTTAGTTGTTTTTCTAGTTCCTTCAAATATAAAGTTACCTTATTTATTTGAGATCTTTGTATTTCCATCATGGAACTGTTTTTGTTGCATCCTGTGAGTTTTGGTATGTTGTGTTTATAGTTTGTTTGTTTGAAGATATTTTTTAGTTTTTATTCCTTCGGATTTTTTTTTTTTCAGGAGCATGTTGTTCCACAGATTTGTGTATTTCCCAGAATTTCTCCTGTATTTATTTATAGTTTTATGCCATTGGGACTTGAGGTATATAATCTGTCCTGGAAAATGTTTTCTGTGTGCTTGAGAAGAAACTATTCTTTTGCTATTGGAATGTTTATATATGTCTTTTAAGTCTATCAGGTTTAGCATGTTCATGTTGGAGCTATAATTCATATGTCTTGGTGCCAGGAAGTTCTCAACCAACCATGGTACATGCATGGTACAACCATGGTACATACATTGGGCTTATATGACCTGATGGCACCGTTACACGTGTACCACTGATAGTTCAAGCTATTGGGAATATGTTAATGTGTATTTCAAGTCCAGTGTTTCCTTCCTGATTTTTTTTTTTTTTTTTGTCTTTTTCCTTTTCATCGGTACCAGGGATCGAACTCACGACTGGCTGCTTGCAGGGCAGGCGCTTATGCCACTGAGCTAAATCCCCAGCCCCTCTTCCTGATTTTCTAAGTGATCATTCCATTGCTGAAGGTGAAGTATAGTATTTGCTGTTGGGTGGAATGTTCTGTTTATATCTGTTAGGTCTATTTACTGAACGTGTAGTTCAAGTCTAGCATTTCCTTATTGATTTGCTAAATGGTCTATCCATTGCAGAAAGTGAACTATTGTAATCCCAAAGAGACTTTATCACCCTTTTCTTTCTCTTCCCTGTTTTTCTTGCTATCTAAGAAGATAATTTTATCAGTTCTTGTAAGATCCATTTTCAGTGTTGATGTAATTATGGTTACTTAAATATAATATTGTTCATGTAGAAACCATATGGTAATTGTTGATTGACTTCATTTCTATAAAGTTTGTTTTACCTTATTTTATGTTTTCATCTGTTGTTTTGAGAGAAATATCCACATATTCTCCAACATATGTATACATCTCCCCTCAGTATATTAAAAGACATCAGGTTATTTATCATTTGTATTGATTATTTTTTTTGGCAGTGTTTGGAATGAAACCCATGAGTTAGTGCATGCTCAGCAGGCTTTCTACACTGTGCTACACTCTCATTTGAGGTAACCACACTGGTGTTCTCTGCCATCTTTATCCAAACTGTTTCTGTCTTTTTATGTGAACTATAATACTGCCATTTGACCTTCTGGGATTTCTTTTTCATTCATATCTTGGAAAATTGCCTGGGTTATCTTTTACATTGACTTTTGTTATCTTTTACATTAACTTTTGATGTTGGTTTCAAGTATCTCCCAGTAGCTTCCTGGAAAACAATGGTTGTATTTTTGATGCTTTCCTGTCTGAAAACACCTTGTTCTACTTTTGCATCTGATAGTATGGTGTGGAATTCAAAATTGGAATCAAATTTCCAGTTTGCTTCATTCTAGCTTTTCTCTTGATAGGTTTATTCTGATTCATGTATTTGATTTTTTTGTATGTAATCTGTTTTTCCTTTCTAAAAGTTTTGGAATATTCTCTGTCCTGACTTCATAAACTTTTAAGTGCAGTATAGTTGATCTTTTTTCATGGTTCTGGCTACTTCATGCTTTTCAATCTCATTATGCATATAACACTTATTTCCTGTAGTCCTAGAATTTTTTTTCTATGATTTTCTATTTCATCTTTTACTTAATCTCTTGTTTTTAGATGCTGGCCTTCTTGACTATCTAATTTTTCTGTTTTCTTTCCTATGTTTCTGTCCTGTGAATTCCTCAACTTTAAATTTTATTCTTTTTGTTTTAAATTTAAGTACATCAAAATCTGTATTTCTCTTACACAGTTTTATAATTTTTGATGAATGTCTAACAGGTAACTACTACAGACAAGCTACAAAAAATTTCTTAGCCCTCATACATCCCTTTCAGCTTTTTCTTTGTAGTTAACCTTTGCCTGCAGTTGTTAACAACTGGCAACTGCTACCCATTTTCCCTTTAATTTTGCTTTTTCCATATATATAATTGTAAGGTCATAGAACATGCAGCCTTTTGAATCTTTTTTCACTTAGTATGATATTTTGAAACTTGTACATGTATGTATTAATATCTCATTTTTTATTGTTAGGAAGTATTGTACCATAGTTTGTGCACTCACCACTCAAAGTATGTTTCAGTTGTTTGTACTTTTGAGGATTAAGATTATGGATAAAGCTGCTATAAGTACATATGAGTTTTTGGGTATACATTTCAGTGGATATCTAAAAGTGGGATTTCTAGGTTGCTGGGTCATATGGTACCTATTTTGTAAGAAACTTTATTTTTTAGAGTTGATTGTATTATTTTATATTCTCAATAGCAACATGCAGATTGCAGTTTCACATATTTTGGTATTACCAGTTTTAAAAATCTTTTAGTTATTCTAAGATGTTTGTAGTGGTATATTATTAAAGATATACAAGTAGTTGGGCTGGACATATACTCGGTGGAAGAGCGCTTCCTTATAATGCAGCCTTAGGTTTAGTTCCCTAGTATTTCCAACAGGCTACAACAAAAATATAAGATTGCCCCCAAAACTGCTTGAAAAGGTACTCAATATCATTAGCCACTGGAGAAATACAAATCAAAACCACCAAAATTCCTCTTCACATCTACTAGGATGACTATAATCTGAAAATATGCCCAAGTAAAAATTGTATCTAAATCTTTATACTAATATCCACAAAGTGGAAATAATCCAAATTTTTGTTGATTTGATCATTAAATTGTGGTTTAACCTTACAGTGGATTGAGACACTGATACTGCAGGAGTATAGACTTTGAAAAACTTAGTATTGAGTGAAAGGAGCCAGTTACTCCTTTACTACAGTATTGCTTGGTAGCATTTATTTGAGACATCCAGAATAGCTAAATCTGGAGACTAGAAAGTAGATTAGTGGTTGCCTGTGATTGGTGGGAATAGGAGGATTAGAAGTTGATGACTGTAAGATACAGGGTTTCATTTTCAGGTACTGGTATTGTGCTAAACTTGATGTGGTTGTGAGTGTACTTATACAAAAAAATCATTGACTTGTACACTTTACGGAGATGATCTGTATGCTCTGTGACATGTCTCAAAGCTGTTAAAAATTCACCCATTTTAAAGAGTACAATTCAATAATTTTTAGCGAATCTATAGAATTTTACAAACATCGAGTACAAAACAGGTAAAGATTTTCATTCCAAAAAGATTTTTGTGTTTGTTTATAGTCTGTACCTATTCCATCCATAGATAATTATTAATCTACTTTCTATCTTTGTAGATTTCTCTTTTTTGTATATTGCATATAAATGGAATTATAAATTCTTGGGATTGTACACCTTTTGAAATCCTTTTACTAAGGGCCAATTTCTCCCTATCCTTATTAATACTTGTTATATTTTTTGTTTTAGCCATCTCAGTAGGTGTGTAACAATGTGTTATTGTACTTTAACTTTTCATTTTTCTATTGGCTAGTGTGTTTTTTAATGTTATTAGACATTCCTATATCTTTAGTGAAACATGTATTTAAATCTTTTGTCCACTTAAAAACATGGATTGATTCCTCATTGTTGATGTTGAGAGGTCTTTGTATATTTTAAATACAAAGTTTTCTCAGTTAGATATATGTAAATACTTTCTCCCAATTTGTGGTTTGTATTTTCACTCCTAACAGTGTCATTTATAGAACAAATGTTTATAATTTTGTTAAAGTCCAGTTAATCAATTTTTTTTCTTTATGTGATATTTAACAGCTCTTAACCCAAATTTCCATAGATTTTTTTTCTTGTTTTCTTCTTAAAGTGTTAAAAAATGAAATTTGATTTTACATATCTATTTCTGAGTACTTATTTCTGGTTCAAAATTCAAAACATACAAAGAGGCATACAGGGAAGTATCCTTGCTGCCTTTCTTGACCCGGAAGACCAGACTGCTGAGGGCTATAATTTAAAAAAAAAAAAAAAAAAAAAAAACAGGTGTTTTAGATTTGTGATGTATTTTGAGTTAATTATCATACAAAGAGTGAGATACAGGGCTGAGAATTTAGCTCAGCAGGCTTAAGCGCCTGCCTGGAAAGTGGGAGGTCCTGAGTTGAATTCCCGGTACCACAAATAAAAAAACAAAAGAGAGAAGGTTAAGGTCCTTTTTTGCATATGAATAGTTTTTGAATTGCTTTTGAACGTTTGACAAAAACCAATTGAACATATTTGCATGATTCTATTTGTGTGTGCTTCCCTGTGTTACTTCTTGTTTCTCTTGTCTTCCTGTTTCTAATTTTTCTAGCCTTTGTTTCCAGTTTTCTCCGGTTACTCTGATTCTCTCTCTTCCTCTTCCTCTATTACCTTTCTCAAAGTGTATAAAATTTTATTACTTTAAGTTTATGTACCTTAGTTTTAACAGGAATAGACGTGAAACATTTATATTTTCATTTACTTTTCAGTTATGCTAAAAGTGAATTAACTTTTTAATTATAACCCTTAGTTTCTCTTAGTGGTCTTGAAGATGATGATTCTCTTTTCCAACAATATGTTTCACAACTCTCATTACTTCTCCTGTATTATAGTTTCTTTTTTAATTTTATTTTTTCTTAATACATATTTAGACTCATCATGGGAAATTAGTATATGTGCATAACAGATCTTAATACTTTTTATGTTCTTTCTTTAAAAGAGAAAGGCATTAATTTCAAATTCACGGTGCTAAGGGAAGTCAAGATTTTATTCCTTTTTCTACCATGATAACTTTTCATTCTTAAATTACAAGTGATTGTTGATGTTTTCCTAGCCCCTAAATCATGTTTCAGTACTTAAAAATGGAATTGGTTTTGGGAATTTTATATAAAAATAAAACACTTGATGGTTGGATCAAATAATACAAATGAATGATCTTTTTCTAGCCCTAAATGATCTATTTTTTTCAGAATCCAGAACAATTTTTGTGGAAAAGTATCCTAATAAATACATTGAAATAATGTCTTTCATGTTTATCACCTCTCATTCAGTGCCAGAGTATTTTAAATATGTATTAGAAAATCTGCTCTGATTTACATTTTTCTTTCAATTTTTAAGGAATGGTTTTTGCATATTCCCTATTAGTCAAAACTTTTATTAGGGCTTTTTTTTTTAGCATACCTAATTTGGTTTCTATAAACCTAGCAGAGTTGTTATCAAATATTAATTGCCTTGCCACTTAAACTATGACCTCTGCCTCTAGAATGGGGAGGTCCTTCTCCTTTGTTTTTAAAAACATTCTTAGTGCAAAAAATGAATTTTTTAGCACTTAAATCCAGATTCTCCCCTCCTTCCCATTTTCCTAAACCGATGAAGGGAACAGGGAATTTGGGCAGGGAGTGGTTGAAAATTCAGGCGTTGATCTTAAAGTAGTATGTACCATGCTACAGCCTACACACCTGAGCCTTATAGTGGCCTTTGCAGCCTCGTGCAGCAGGTGACCTGAATTAAGCTGCAAACTAGGCTTCTTTCTGGTCCCAAAGCTCAGCTGTTTATGTATACATACTTTTCTCAACCTTGGGCTAATTGGTTTAATCCTACCCTTCCAAAAGCGTACTTTTTCCCTACCAAGTTTCTTTCTGGAGTTCTCCATTCCTAGGAGCATTGGCTCTTCCTCTTTTTTTCACAGGATCCTGCCTTGTTCTGGACAAGCTCCACCCCTTGCTTCTCCTGCTTTTGGGAAGTGCCAAGATTCTGCCGAGCTGACTTCAGCTGCCTTCTGCTTAAACTTTGAGCTGCTTCCCGGAGACCTGCAAACGCAAGCCCTTCTCCCTGCCCCTCACTCCTCCTTGCACCCTGCTTTCTTCTTTCCACACTTCTGTTATTTCTCTCCCCACTCCATTCCATACACTATGCATAAAGGATGGAAAAAGTATGGTGGCCAGAAGTCTTTGAATGAGGCTTCAATGGATGAATATTTAGGCAGTTTAGGGCTGTTTCGGAAGCTGACTGCCAAGGATGCGTCTTGCCTTTTTCGGGCTATTTCGGAGCAGGTAATCGGAAAAAAAAATCTTACCTATACTGAGTTTTCAATGTTTGAGGTATAGTGTGATCCTGTAAGTGCCTTTTCTGTTTCTTAGTGAAAACATCCAGATCTGTCTGTAAAGTGACTATCTGGTTCTGGTTACTAAAGACAGTGTAAGAGTGTGTTGTGCCTTTGCTGTTGAGTACCAATAAGTTTCTGTACTTTTGTTATCTTTGCTGTTTTATAAATGTCAATTTGTAATATAGGAGGAATAGGATGATGGGGTTAAAGAAAACATTGAAATGTATCCTGATCCTATGTAAGCACCCCTTGCTGCTTTCAAGTTTTATGTCTAAGGAAAGCATACCTTATGCCTTTAAGAAATAGGAAAGGGAAGGGATATTACAGAATTATCATACTCCACTAAAGTGTTTTTTTAGTATGATGACTTAGTTTCTCTTATTTCCTAGATACGTTCTGAATAAGGGTGTTTTAAGTGGTCATTTTGTAGTCTTAGAAACTTTTTCAAATGACTTAACGGTAAACTGGTCTTTCTTTTTTAGTTATTTTGCAGCCAAGTCCATCATTTGCAAGTCAGGAAGGCTTGTGTCTCATATATGAAGGAAAATCAACAAACATTTGAGTCTGTAAGTAGAATTTATACCTGGGGAGAGTTATTGGTAAAGTTTTAGGTGGGAAAATTTTTTTAGTGCTTACATTATATCAGTTTCTCCTTCTCAGTAGTGAATATTTAATTCTCACCTGGCTTCCAGACCTCCTCCCCAATTTAGGCTGTTTTGTGCTCAAAAAATTAATAAACAATCTGTCTTTCCCCACTTCTCCCTCCCCCACCCAAAACCCCAAATCCTAAAAAATTGTATTTTCATTGCCATTTTGTTATACATACCACCAATTTCTTGGATAGTGATTCATGAAAAGTTTTGCTGTTAATATTTTAAAATGTATATTTTAATGTGTGCACAGGCTTTAGCTACTGAAGAGTCTTGTAAAAATTGTGAGAAGAAAATTAGTCTTAACATCTAAGTTTTATTCATGACAGATTTTGGTAATTGGATTTGGCTTTGAAGTAAAACAGCTTTTAGAGGATATCTTTGTACATTCAAGTATTTGAATTTTTGTTAAGTAAACTAGAGGTTCTATCACAGTCTGATTTGAAGTGTACCTTTTCCATAGCTTTCAATATTTTTATATTTCTACCCCTTCTGGTACTATTTGTTTTCTACTGACTATATTGTGAGTGTTCGGGTGCCTGCTGTTTAAGGTTACTCTTTTTCTTAGCAGGTTTTAGTGAATTTTTGACTACTGTGAAAGCTTCTTGATTTTAAAGCTTGTTACCTTGAATTAGATTATAATCTCCACACCTGGGGAAAGGATTATGTGACATTCCAACACAATTACAGTGTAAAGTAGTGCATCTCAAGATACTTTAAGATAGGGCCTTGGTATGTAGTTCAGGCTGGCCTTGAACTCACTGTGTAACCATGCTGGCCTTGAATTTACAGTAATCCTCTTACCTCAGTCTCCAGAGTGTTGTGATTACAGGCCCAGCTCTCAAGTATTTTTGTACATACACATCACCTGGGAAAAAACTGCTAATTTTCATTCATTAGGTTTGAGCTGAGGTCTGAGATTTCTGCATTTTTAACAGACTCCTGAGGGATACTTGGTGTTGGGTTCTGGACAACATTTTGTTAAGAAAAATGTGTGTAAAATGTTAAAAACTACGTGAGTCAATCTCTGATTACACTGAATTAGAGAAACCAGACATCTCCAAGAAAAAAATTTATATGACTGCCTTTATAAAAAAATTACCAATATATAGATAAAGAGAACAGATAAAAGATTGTATATCAATTATACATGGGATAAAGAAACATGCAGGTGATAGATTATCTCAGTTGTGATGATAGATTCATGAGTACATATAAAATCAAGGTTTATTTGATTGTACTATCTTAATTGTGCGGTTCCTTGTAGATCAATTGTATCTCAAAACTTTAAAACAAAGTGGAAAAAAATCAATGGAAAAAAATCAAAAATTGATTTTTGTGTGTAGTAATGTATATTCATGGAAATAGAAATCTATTCCCTGTGGAGATTTGGTTTTGTTTTGTGATACTAGGGATTGAATTCAGAGCTTAGCATGGAGCTAAAGCCCGAGATTTTTTAAAAAAATTTTTGAGTCTGACTAAGTCCCTAAACTGCCCTGGCTATTTTCAAAGTTTCAATCTTCCAACCTGGGATTATAGGCATTGGCCACTATTCCTGACTCAATTTAAATTTTATTTAGGTATGTTTTATATACCATAAGATTTAGAATTTTAAATTTATCATTTTTAGTTTTTACAACGATATGCATAGCCATCACTGTCAAGATATGGAATGCTTCAGTTACACAAGAAAGTTCCGTTACGCCCTAGGCTTTTTGAAATCAGTGAAATTTAAAATTTCTCAGTTTAACTTTTTAAATATATGTCTCTCAACAGATGTACTTAGTGGCATTGTGTGATTTATGAAAATTGTCAGGTTAAGTTAGCATTTCAAAAGAAATTCACCGACATATCTTTTGATGACATGCACTGGTGTGTGGATATAAGCCAGGACCAATTCCTAAGATACTATCATATTCTCATAACTTTTCTCCATTTAGAAGTTCGGTGTATGTGCAAATCTGCTTTATGTGCTGTGTTCACTAATAATTTCATATTACAATTGAGCTGAACAAAAACTCAGTGATAATATTGCATAATACAATCAGACTTCAGTAATGCTACAAATTTGGTTAAGTTAAGTTTGTTTTATTTTTGAAGTTTGTGGAGGGATCTTTTGAGAAATACCTGGAACGGTTGGGAGATCCCAAGGTAAGATCAAATAAGGTAATTTAATATGTTCAGAGTTATTTGGAATAGTTATGTAAGCATTCGTCTGTGTCACTACAACCAGACTCAAAACGATTTTCTTAAATGGCTCGTTCTGTTGCATCAGATAGTTGTGGAAGTTTAGAGGCCTGCAGTGAACTTGTTTTGAGTTGAATATTGAGAATTGTATGTTAACAATCACAGTAATAAACAATTGAGAGTACAGGAGAGACAAGAGAATGTTGGGAAATATTAAAGTTTTTTTTTTTTATTTTAATGAAAGAGGAGAGCGGTAATTAATATTACTAAGAAGTCATTTTTTAAAATTAGACAACTCTTGATTTGTAGTTATGTTTTGTGTGGCAGTAAAACATCCTTTACAAATAAATTTTATGTGATAAATTCTATTGTTCTGGACTTAAAATAAATTTTTATTCTTATATTAGGCCTACTTTGACTACACCTTTTAAATTTTTCATATTAAATGTCATTACTAAATAGCAAAGGCTTTAGGTCCATTTTTTTCATGATCTTGTATTAATGAGTAACTATCACACTATTCCAATCCTTAAAACAAGTTACTGTATGTTTTACAAATGCTTTATGTGATACAGTACTAAAGAGCTAAAAATACTATTAAACTTGCCAAAAAACTTTTGCTTCCTAGCTTATGAAATACTTTTTATAACTCTGTTTATGTTTAGGAAAGTGCTGGGCAGCTGGAAATAAGAGCTCTTTCTCTAATTTATAAGTAAGTTGTGTCCCCTTTTTTTTGAGACTGAGAAAGTATGTTTGTGTAAAGCTTTTGTTAAAGTTCCTTTAGGATTGGGGAAATTTGAGATGTGATATATTAATAATGTAAAGAAGTGTAAGCAAAACCAGTTTGGTATAGTCTTTGGGTGGCAAAACTTGGTGCAGATGTCCATACCCGCAAGCATTTGTGTGTGTATGGAAGAATAAGAGACTTGAAGAACTACTGATGTTTTCTATAGGAAATCAGAATATTCATCTTAGAAGAAAATCTTGGATATTAACTTCATGCCTCCTTTTCATGCATTCTTAGTGGGGCAGTGTTATGTCTAGTAGGTCAGAAATTGGCTTGGGGAGAAGCAAAATCTTAGATGCTGTATTCCACTGATTTTTTTTTTTTTTGGTCTCCCAAAGGGCCACATACACGAACAGATACCTCTGTGATACTAAGCTTCTGTGGGAAAAGTAAAAAAAAAAAATCTTAAAAGGTTCCTTGGTGGTTGATAATGGAAAAAGTTAAACACTATTTTGTTGCTTTGGAAGTTCTGTTTTTGGTCTCTGAAACTGTAAAAACAGTTTAAGAAAGCTATATAATTTTGAAAAATTACCACATAGCACAGGTTAGAGGGTAATGGAAATCTTGTTAATTTTAGTTGTCTGATCTGTGTTAAGACTCCTTCACAGGTCATAGTATGGTGAGATGGTGTAAACCTCGGTAGAATCAGAATTGTCTTCTCATTGATTTGTAGTCTGCTTATTTCTCATTAAGTCAAGAAGTATAGGCAAATACTGGGGAGGTAGCTAATCATTTGTCATTTTTAAATCAGAAGTCAACTTTTAAATTGGCCTGCTTCCTGTTTTTGTATGTTAAGAATGATTGTTAAAAAATTTAAGTAATTGAAGACTTTCATGGTATGTGTAAATCATATGAAATTCATATTGCACTATCCATAAATAGAGCTTTGTTGGAACACAGCAGTGCTTATTCATGTGTGCATAGTCTGTGGCTGCTTTCAATCCATAAAAACAAAGTCGAATAAACCATATGCCATGCAAAACCTGAAATTTTGACTTTTTACTGACCTTAAAATTGTTAAGGCCTGATTTTTAAGTAAAGGAAAGCTCCCACCAAACTCAGATATGTACAGTTGGTAAATTGTGTTCTTTACTGTTTATTTTTCTACTCCCAAGTAAGATGCATTTAGAACAATTCATAAAACTGTAGTTTACCTTGACATAACATCATTTAGCCTCTGTTGTTTTAAACCCTAATAGGAAACTAAACACGTGAATCATTTTATATGAATAATTAGTTTAAAAGCGCAAATACTTATTCTTGTGTTTTTTGCATATGCTAAGTCATCTCTTTTCATCCATGTTTGTTTCCTATTCATGTAGTCGGGATTTCATTCTTTATCGCCATCCTGGAAAGCCACCAATTTACGCCACAGATAATGGTTATAAAGACAAGGTAAAAATAAGAGGGAATGTTGAATAAAATAAAATGGTGTTACTAGCTTGACAAAATATTAAGAAGTAATGTTTTTATACCTAATTAATGAAAAACTAAATGTGGTCTAAATGACAAAATTCTATGCCATTAGTCCTGTCTGTACCAGTCAATCATCTTCAGTGGTGGGAACTTTGTCTATTCTTGTTACTTCTTCAAAATAGAAAAAACATGAAGGTAGCCATGCTGGTGGCACATGCCTATAATCGTGGCATACTTGAGAGGTTGAAATAGGAGAATTCCAAAGTTGAAACTCCCTCTAGGAAACTCATTGAGACCCAGTTTCAATAAAACTTTTAAAAAGGATAAGGGTGTAGCGCAGTGCAGAGACCCTCAGTTCATTTCCCAGAACTGGAAAAAAACCTGATCTAATCTACTTTTCTTGTCTTCCACCCTTACACTATACCACATAGCCTGACTTTCATATTTTATGTTCCTTAGAACTTCCGATGTCTGTTCTTCTGAATTCTTCCCAACTCCCTTTGTGTTCTGCTACCCAGTTCCCAAGTGTAGTAACTATATCGTTGATCACATTATATTTGCATTCTCTCATTAGTCTGAAAGTATCTGAGGGCAGTATCTGAGAAAGTATCCTTCTATGGTAGGAAAGTGTTTGGACAGTAGTAGGAGGTGGCTTTGTTATATGAGACAACTCAACATATAACTCACTGTTTTTTAATATGTAACTCTTCTTTGAAAAGTTTTTAAGAAAAGCTGTTTTTCCAGAGTATTTGATTAGTGAATATAGGACTATCCAATATTTGGGTCTTAATTCGCACCGTAGAGCACAATTCAGGCAGCATTTTAATCATGGTAAGACAATACTATATATTTGAAGAAGTCTTAGGTTGTTGTTACAGTAATGTAGACCAAAGACCTAAATTAAGAAAGAAGTGTAATACTGAATAGAGAATACTGAATAGTGGTGACTTAAAGGATAAGTTGGAACATTATTGTTCAACAAATGTTAAGTCCTTATAGCATAACAAGTATGTTCTTTGAGCTTTAAGGATGCAAAAATGACTATATTTAAATCTTTGTATTCCAAGGCTTACAGGCCTGTAAAAACAAATATAGAAATAGTTCATTAAAATAGAGTGATAAGTTTTGTAAGAGTCTGTACAAGAAGCATAAAAGAAAAAAAAACCTTCTCCACTTGAGGTTTAGAAAGCATCATGGTGATAGAGACTCCTAGGAAATGGGGTCAGTTCAGTAGCCTCTTGAATAAATTGCTTAAAATGAACTTGCTTTCCTCCTTTTATCTGAGTTTGGGATATTTGGGCATTTGAGTTAAATGTTAAGATATGACTTTTGGCATATGTTAGGCTTTCTGTACATATAGTAACAATTAAATATAAAACTTCCCATGTTAATGTATGTTTGTAAATCAGAACTTGATTGGTGTATTCAGGGAACATGAGTGAGGTTCACAGTGTAACTTTGGTAGGGATATATTTTTGGTATCTGGGGTTGAACTCGGGACCTTGCACTTGCTAGACAGGCAGTTTGGTAGTGATTTTAATCTTAGCATTTAAAAATCAATTGCCAAGAAAATCTCCTAATGAGGTACATCTTGTGTTTTCTTACATTTTTTAAAAATCACTTAAAATGTTACAACATTATTGATTATCAAATTTCAAGTTGTCAACCTAATTTTGTGGTTGTAAGACATGTAACATTAATTGTTCTGTGTTTTTCTTTAGATTGTACTCTGCTATTCAAGTAATGGTCATTATGATTCTGTGTACCCAAAACAATTTCAGTCAAGTGCAGCTATTTGTCAGGGTACGTAAAAACTTCGTAAATATTTGGTGTGGTTTCAGATGATTTGTTGCCAGTCTTTGATTTGAGAGACTCACTAAATACAACTCTTTCAAAACCTTCTTGATACTTAGGTAATTGGTATGTTGGATTATGGCTACTTTCACATTGTTAAAGTCTTACCAATTGTGGATTGATCCTTTTTTCATACTTCAGCTGTATTGTACGAAATTCTCTATAAAGATGTGTTTGTTGTGGATGAAGAGGAATTGAAAACTGCAGTTAACTTGTTTCGAAGTGGTTCTAAGAAGAATAGAAACAATGCTTTGACTGGAAGTGAAGATGCTGAAATTAATTACAAGACTTCAACTCAGGATAGGTAGTAAAGGGAAAGGGGATGTTAACTACGTGATAATCATATTTCCTGTTCTTGTGTATTATCATTTGAATGTGAAAGGGGCCTGGTAAGCTTATGATTTATATTACCTGTACACATGTATATGTAAATGTATATTAGGGATATATGTTTTTTAATGAGGAGCAAGAAATTATGCCAAAAATAAACTTTGTATTCTGTTCATGATGATTCATTTCTTATTGCTAGAAGAGGCTTTCCAACTATCTACTTTATGTGTTTTTCAAACTTTAGATTCATATGAATTACTTGGTGCTTGTTAAAAAGGTGGTTCTCTGGGTCTACCTTCACAAAATTTGACGTCAGAATGGAGCGAGAACTCTGCTTTAAAAAAAAAAAAAAAACCTGATCCACCTAAGTACTCTGTAGGTAGGCTGCATAGGGTACTGGAGAAGAAACATTCTAACCACAATAGTTTTCTGAGGTTAGGTGGTTACTTAATATACACATTCTGTTAATAGAAATCTCTCAGGCTAAGTGGAGTTTTAGGAGCTTTTGAATTTCTGCTGTTGGTATGCACTGGAAATGTAGATTGTGTGCCTTTGAGAAAGCACCTTTGTTTTAGTAGATCTAATGGAAAATTTGGGGTTTTAGATATTAAAGTAGGTGTTGTGTTTGTTGCCTTGTAGTTCTTGTTTCTTGCTTCTGATTTCCTAGTTCTGTCCAGAAATGGATACAGGTTTTATGCCAGACAGATGTTACCTTGTGTTTTAGTCTTGTAGTTCTATTTCTTTGACATTTAATACTTGCAACTTTTTTTTTCTTTTTGATAGAAGAGAATTTTTTAAAGTTAATTTGGACCATTTGGGGGCAGCATTCATATGTCAGGGTAAAAATTGCTTCATTCTTTACTGATTACTTGTTTTAAGGAATTTAGGCTTATGGAAACTGTAGTAGTAGGAAGGCAAAGTACCTTAGTTATCTAGTGCTGTATATTACTATAATTTGGCAGCTGAAAACAGCACACTTAAAATTTATGTGGGTTAGGGATCTAGGCATTCTTTAACTGGGAACTATGAGGGTCTCATAAGATTGTAATGAATGTGAACAGCACTGAGTATTATCTGGAACTTTGGGAAAAGATACAGCCTTTCCCCGTTGTTCTTTATCATTTAGTTTCTTCCAGTTGTGGGACTCAGAGCTTCAGATTCAGATTTTTTTGCCAATTAGTCAGAGGTAGCCCTCATCTCTTTTTCACTCTGGGTTAGTGAATGTGGCTGCTTTGCCTTGTAGGTAGCTGAGGAAAGAGAGGCCAGCAATACAGGCACTACATTTTTATAGTTTAATCACCTAAATCCTATCTTGAATAGAAGCAAACTCAAGGAGAAGGGGAATCACACGAGTGTGAACACTAGGAAGCAGAATCATAGAGACCTCTTTAAGAGTATATCCTCACAATTATAATTTGCTAAGTAAGTGTATTGTAGCAGTACTTATAAAGTAAAAGCATAATACAGATACTGAAGTATTTGTATTAAAGTTTTATTTGCCTTAAGTTTTAAAATGAGCTACTTCTCTAGGTAGTAGTATGGTTGCTAGTTATGAGACAAAGAACTGCTACATTTGTATAAAGCTCTTTGATCTAATTCTTTTCAATTAGGACTGAAGAGTGGAGTGTTGGTTGCAGTATTCAGAATACGCAAGAGGACTGTAATCAAGGAAGAGAAGAATCGAAGGTTAGGTATTTTCTGAGGCAAAGAACTTTCATACTGTTGGCTTGCAGCATCACAAAGATAGTTAAGATCAAATTAGTCCATTCTAATTATATAGGACAAGAAGAAATGATCATGTTTTTCTTTGTGGGAATTCTGTGTATTAAAAAATGTAAAATGTCTGCTTTGTTTTCTCTGAATCCTTGTTACAGAATTTGAGATTTTTCAAAACAAACTTCATACTAGTGATGTTTCATAAGCTTTTGTATTCAAGTTAAAATAGTATTACAAACCAAATACTCAGTTTTATAATCAGTCTTTTACCCTAAAGTTACTTGTTTTCATTAAAGAATGCAATGCTTATTCTTATCCTAGTTGAAGAAGGTAGGTACTAATCTTGTTTTTTAAGTTGGAGAAACAGAGTTTTTTACCATCTGTATAGGCCTAAAATCAAGTAGGCCTTCAACTTGAGGCTAATAGAGCAAATGCTGTTACAACAAAAAATAATTTCTATGGCACAAGCACCTGCCGTGCAAGCAGGCGGTCGTGAGTTTGATCCCCGGTACCGATGAAAAAATCAATCTCTATGTGTATATCAAGTATCAGTGATTTTTAAACTGTATTCAATATGAAATTCTAAAAAAGCAGAGGAGAGCTCGCTTTTCAGTTATTTTTTGGTGCATATTAAAATAACATTTGTTACAAAATTCTGACTGCATTTTTAATCCAGGTCTGTGTGAGACTGGTTTATGTGTCTGGGCTTGTTGACTGCCATCTACAACCTTTTACATTATTTGTGTTTTACTATTTTATATAAAATTCAAGTATTCCTGATATTGAAAATACATGGTAAAATTTATTTTGCTATTTCTTATTTTAATAAAGAAAGGAAATAGGGCATATACAGTGATACCTTGACCTTTCCACTACTCAGACAACTAAGTTAGAAAAAAAAATCTGCTCAGTTTACAACTTTGCTCTAGAGTTGAACCAAAAATCCGACATAAAAAAAACCTATATGGGCCAAGAGCAAGTTACACGTCACATCTTGGCACAGACACAAAGGGGTGATGCTTCAATCTAAGCACTGATCTTGCCTAGATAATATATAGTGCTTGTGTTAGGGTGTTAAAAACATTGTGCTTTTTGTTGCTTTCTTTGGGTAAAATATCAGAACTGTGGCTCCAAAGACAGTTAGTGATTCTAGCAGTGAAATTAAGAAGATTGAGAACCGTGACAGATTTGAAGAAAGAAATCATTGTGAAATTTGTTAAAACACCTGGAAAAATGAATTTATGAGTGTAATTTTTGGCCCTCAGAACAAATCATTTGGTTTTTCATTACTTATGGAGAAAATATGTTCAGTTCTCCAAGTTTTTGGTGTTCAAACATGAATTTGAATGAATTTAGTTCAACAATCAAGTATCATTGTATCCTGTAGTTATCTTTTTAAAAAAGTATGAAAAACACTTTAATTTTTCCTTCCTCAATAGAAATAAGACTTAGACTAAGGATAGTAAGTTTGCAGCATGATTATTATTTTTGTTTTAGTCTCCAGAAAATCCATCAAAGATGCCCTTCCCCTATAAAGTACTCAAAGCCCTGGATCCAGAAATCTATCGTAATGTAGAATTTGATGTTTGGTTGGACAGCAGAAAAGGTACGCAATATCAAAAGTATACTTTGGAATCCTGACAGAGCTGGGAGAATAGTTTTGCAAACTGTTTAACTATAACATACATTTTCAGCATACTGTTTTAAATAACAGCCTTTTTATCTTATTACATATAATTTAAATGTGGAATAAGAAACAAATAGGATTAGAAATGGAAAGGATTATTGTTAGTCTAATGCTTATTTGAGTTTTGGACTTTGCAAGGCTGTGTAGAAGTAGCCTGTAGATAGTCTAAAAAGTACAGAAAATTTTAGTGAATGGAGACAGACTCATCTGAAATGTAAAGTGTCAAGACTATCCCCATTGATAAATAAGTAGGTCAGGCCTTTGGACCAGTTCTAACTCTACTACCTGTTTTCTCTGGGTCCATGAGCTAAGAATGGTCTTTACATTTTGAAGTGGCAGGAAAAATTAAAAGAGCACATAAAATTATATAAAATTCAAGTATCAGTATTCACAAATGGAATTTTATAATAGAGTCGATAATTTTGACTGTAGAGCCCCCAAAATCTGAAATACTTACTTTCTGGCTCTATACAGAAAACAAATTTTATTAAGTTCTTAGCATAGCAAATTGTTTATCTCTTTGTACATGATAACTAAATTGATTAAAGTAGGCCTTAAAATACTGTTTTTAAGGTAAGCCTTAATACAATCCCACCATCTTGAACCATAGGTGTATATGCCTGTGTTACTGACTGTCCAATCAAGCAGCTTGTACCTGTGGTACATGCATGACTACCCTTTTGGGTGGCGTGCATCACCTGATGGGACTATTATGCATGCATCACTACCAGGTAGTAAGACATGAATTACAGCTCCACTATGAAGTGTTAAAGTTCTATATTTAACTCCTTGAACCTCAGTGAACCTCAATGTAGTTAGAATGAGTTTAAGACCTAGTATAATATAATACATTGTTAAAAAAATAGGCTCCTTGGAAGAAGACGCATATGGTTACTGTACATTTATAGTGTTTGACTAACACTATGATTACAAGCTCCTCATTTCCACCTGTTTGTATTTTAAAGTACAAAACTTGTTTTTGGCAAGTCTCAGCCCTTTGTTACTTTCTTCCCAGATTTAACTTAAAGGGCTAGTATTGTCACAAGCTCTGTGGTAAAAGTAAATTGGGAAATTAAATAATATAAAATAGGAGAAGAACTATTTTAACTGAGCTTCAGTCTTCCTTTTCTTTTAATAGAACTTCAAAAATCTGATTACATGGAGTATGCTGGAAGACAGTATTATTTAGGAGACAAATGTCAGGTTAGTTCCTTTAAAGAATAAATAGTTTGTTTTTCCAAGTGACAACTAAGTTGATTAAACTAGGTCTTAAAGTATTGTCTTTAACATAAGCCTTTAGCACTTTCCTACATGTGGTACATGCCTGCATGACTGACTATCCTGGCAAGGGGCTCATTAAAATGAGCTAAACAAAACTTACAGAATGCTAGAAAATTTTTAAATGTTAAGTTTTAATGACAAATTTTGGTGATGATTAGCTATAGACTTTTTTAGTGCTAGACGTGCCTCTTCCATTGACCTAGGCTGGTGGTGTTGATGTTAGTCACTTAAAAAAAGTAGACACTTAATTACATTTGGAGAAAAGTGATATTTTTTGTTTGTTTTCTTTTTTTAATTTTATTTAAGGAGAAATAAAAAAGCAGAAAAAGGGTACAAGTTATATACAGAATTTCAGAAAAAAATAGTGGGAAATCACTAGTTAATGGATTACATATTGTCATCTTAGAAATATTTGTTCAAGTTACAAAATTAAAGCATATAAAGTGGACATTCAAACAGTGAGACTGCAAACAGTTCTGTTCAATGATTTAACAAAACTCAGTAATATTATTGTCTTATACACTTAAATATACATGCAGTTATATCGTTTAGAGCACTTTCTTTTCCTCTCTTTTGTACAATGACTATCACACATTTTGGGTTTTGTTACTCCCACAGTTCTTATTACTTTTTTGGAAGAGAGTAAAACCAAATGTGACATAACAGAACAGAGACAGTCAAATCAAAAGGGTGGACATAATAGATAATGTAAAAACATAACACAAGGTGATCAACAATGGTTACCATAATGCCTCCTGCTATCTCAAATAGGAAAAGTGATATTTTTGTTTGGCAGAAGCCAGCTGTCAGTATTGTTCACACTAGATGTATTACTGTGGCTTTCTCTCTTCAGGTTCGCTTGGAATCAGATGGAAAATATTACAATGCTCACATTCAAGAAGTTGGAAATGAGAACAATTCAGTAACAGTTTTCATTGAAGAATTGGCAGAAAAGTAAGAATATAAGAATTTCTTAAATTACTAAAATCATTGCCTTATGATGCCTTTTCCTAATACTAAGAATTACTAGGATGCTAGTTATGTCTGGTACTGGCCTAATTATCTGGAATTATAAAAGCATTGTTAAGTGTGAAATATTAATGTATCAGGAATAAAACCTTTCAGATCTTAGTCATTAGCTAACTTTTAGAAGCATTAAATTAAGGACAATAGAATTTTGATATAAAACTGTTCATAGCAATTGGAAAAGTGGCTTGTTGTCAGTATCGTGATAGGCTAATCTCTTTTTTAAGTTTTACCTGGAGAGCTTCTGAGGACACTTCAGTCCAAACCCCAAAGTTTCCTATTCAGTCGTTCTGGGGTGGGGCCAAAGAATTTGAATTTCTAGTACTAATGTTGTTGATCCACCTTAAGAACTATTAAATTAGGCTATGCTGACTAATGACCAAAAATTCTCAGCAATTAGAAACAATAAAGTTCATATTTTATTTGTTTAACGTGTCTACACGAAGTCAATAAAAGGACCTAGGACAATAGAGATTTTGTATTGACATGTGTTTTCATGATCACAGGCAGGAGCAAAAATAACATGAAAGGCCACTTGCTGGTCTTTAAAGCATCTTATATTTTATTAGCTAAAATACATTGTTTACACACACAAGACTGATGTCAGTGGAGTGGGCAGTATGATCCTTCTCCAAGGAAGGGCATCTATTGTGTATGAACTAATACAGTATATGACAATCTTTTTTTTCTGGATATGTGATAGGTACTACAATCAGCTGTGAAACTGTGCAAGTAAAGCAGAAGGGGGTAGGGTATGTACTGAAGATACTTGAGTCTGTTGTAAGGGCTTCATTATGGTACCTTTTACTTTAAGGCATGTTGTTCCACTGGCTAACTTAAAAGCAGTTACCCAAGTGATGCATATTCCTACCTGGAATACTATCTCCAGTCGGAAAGGAAGAGGTTACCAGAAAATGTCTGCAGGCTATATCCCAGAAATGGGTTTGTATGCTAAAAGCCTTTTGATTTTCCCTTTTTGTAGTCTCCTCTTATTTAAATATGTTGTACTTTTTTTAAAAAAAAAGTATGTCATATGTCTAGTTGCAGGGTGGGATGGCTAATGTTTGTTGGTTGATAGGGGGCTCTCTGTCTTGTAGAATGATTCCTGGCTTTTATCTACTACATGCCAGTAGAACCTTCTGCGAAAAGCATCTTCAGATATTGCCAAGTGTATTATGATGAGAGGCTGTGATAAAATTGTCCCTGATTAAAAAACTACAATTCTTAGTGACTTTGTGCAAATTTAAGCTAATAGAGATTTTAGAGTCTAAAACTTTAGGGGAAAATATTTTTTCAAAGAACTAGAAAGGTACTTCATAAATGCAGCCATAAATAATAAATACCTTCTTGAAGACTAATAATGTAGGTGACTGGATAACTCAATATTCTGATGACCAAAGCTGCCTATATTAGAGTACTGAAATACCTATTAATTACAGACATTACCTGCTGGTTTTGCACTTGCAAATGGAAGATCTAGTACAATTTTGAAAATATAGACATTCCATCCCTGTGATTATTTGGTTCCTAAGAAAAGCAATGAGAATTGAAGGTAATTGAGGATACTAGACCTTGACTTTGGTTATAAATCTTATTTGCTACTTGTTTACCTGAAAGCTATGTCAGAGATGGACATGAAGCAGCGGAAAAAGATATTTAAGAAATTTCGAGGGAAAGAGGATTATATGACAATGGCTTACAGCAGGGGAGATTCTCTTCCTTCGCCCAGATTTCAGCGCAGTATGCATTATGGGCATGATCCTCCACTTCACTACTCACAGACAGCTGGCAATGTTATGTGCAATGAACAGTTTCATCCTCAACATTCATCTTACAGACAAGGCCGAGGATATGGGATACCTAGGTAAAACTCAACTGACTTTTATGATAATGTGTGTTATTGCTTAGAATTACAAATAATTCATAGATAGAACTATAGGAGAATTAAATTTTATGAATTTAGATATCTTTTGTACTGTCTGCCTAAAGAGAGCATAGAGCTAATGGATGCTTACATTCTTATCAAATGAATTCATTAGCAAATTTGTGTTCTCATAGGGTTGGAGAATTGTGAAGGAGTTGAAGAGATACTCAGTATTCAAAGATAGAATGCCATGAAAATGAGTGTCCATGTGATACATGGCACTATATTCATTAATAACAGATAACATTAATACCATTTTTGAGAAAAATATAACTCAGTTTCCAGTTGAATGTTTTCAGAAAAGAGTTTTGATTCTGTTTAGCTACAAAGACCATCTAAACAGGATAAATTTCTTTTTTTTTCTTTTTATTCTCAGAGGTTCATCTCGTTTTATAAATAGGCATAGCATGCCAATCCCTAAAGTTGGTTTTTACCCTGAACCAGATAAAAGGTGCTGCCAGAGTTTTGACAATTTCTCCTATAGATCTCGGTAAGTATGGAAGTCAGGAAAAATGTCTAAGTCTAGTTTTACTGCTGACTAATGAGAATACAGACTAAATTTTAAAATACCAACTTTGAAACATTTGAACTGTTAGTTAGAAATTAGAAATAAATTAACTATTTTATCATATTTCCTCATTTTGTTTTCCAAAGTTCCTTCAGACGTAGTCATCGCCAAATGCATTGTATGAATAAAGAATGTCATTATGGCTTTGTCCCTGAGAATGGACAGATGCCCAGTGGCTTGGAAGAAACAGTTACTTTTTATGAAGTTGAAGGAGATGAGACTGCTTATCCACCTTTACCTGTAAGTGGGTCAGAGTGTCACCCAAAAAACTGTTAACCTTTTTCTTTTTTGTAAAGATTGTATAAATTTTAAGGTTTTGCTATGAACAGCTGAATAAAATCCTTGGAAAACATGAGCTTTCATCTTAGACCTTTTTTTTTTTTTTTTTTGTCTTTTTCCTTTTCATTGGTACCAGGGATCGAACTCATGACTGCCTGCTTGCAGGGCAGGCGCTTATGCCACTGAGCTAAATCCCCAGCCCCTCATCTTAGACCTTTTAAAACACGAGAGAGGAGACTTTTTCTTAAAGTTGATCTCAGAAAAAGGAATAGAGCTAGATATCTTGTGTGTATTAATATTTTGTTTCCGTTATCATTAATTCTTTGTATTTTTATTCTATGGTTCAAAGTATTTACTCAAAATATTTAGAATTCTCTTATAGTAGCATTTCGTAGTGTTAGTCTGGTGGTAAACCTAAGGCATACATACATGCCTCAGCAGGCTGTTTGTCTTACTGAAGGCTTTAGAAGGTTTGCCATCACTGGTCTAGTTTCTTTAACTGACTTTCAAAACATTCCTCTTAACCTTTTTTGACTATATAGGGGAAATTGCATGTTTGTGTGTCTTTCTTTGGTACAGAACCATGGTAGTCCCTCTATGATGATTCCTGCTACTTCAGGATACTGTGTTGCAAGGCAAGGACATAGCTCAGGAAAACAGACTTCCAATTCAGAAGATGGCAATGACCAGAGTGACAATGGTGAGTCAATTAGTGTTAAATATTTTAAAGAAGATGCCTCTCATGGGATTAGCACATTGGGGCTATAAAGTGAACCAAAGTTTTGGTTCAGAGAAAGTCTCATTCTATTTTATTTCAAAAAAGTTAAAAAGTTCATGTCTTAGATGCTGGGATTTTGAAGATGTCCTGGTACTTCTCAAAAGAACAGACTAGTGTTCAGTAGACCACTTCATTTTTTAAACTTGTTTTCAGTTCTCTGCATAGGTTGTCAGTGAGTTTTGATTTGATAAAATAATCAGTAAAGAAAACAACTTCCTTATTAGTAAGGTGCTATTCATAGTTGTCTTCCTCATTTGTATAGTTTAAACTTTTCATGTGATTCTTATTTTTCAAGACTGCTATATGTTCTTCACCCAAAGTTGTCTACTTGATCTATAAACATTAATATTTATTGAATCCTGTGTAACATCTATTCTAGTAATTTAATGTAGTCCTTACTGAGAGATGCACTATTTTTATGTAAGGGAGAAACTGAAATCAAAGGTAAATTGTATATGGCTGAGGTCATATGCATAGTAAATAGCAGAGATATTTTCATAATAACTTTTTGAGATAAAGTTTATATACAATTTACCCATTTAAAATGTACAATCCATTGTTTTTTAGTATTTTCGAGCTTAAATATCTATCAGCTTTCATATGAGGGCATATTTTATCATCCTAAATAAAAACTTCACAACTGTTAGCACCTATTACTTACTCCAACTGTCTACCTGAAGGTCACCAGTCTTTTTTGTGTCTCTATGGATTTGCCTATTCTAAACATTTCATGTAAATGAAGTGATACAGTAGACTGGCAAAGATGGAATTTTAACTTGGGTTTGTATCTAAAACTGTACTTACCCTTAACAATTTTATCATCTCACTTTTGGGTATGTTTATTTTTTACCATTTACTCTTAAACAACACATGCCTACTGAAACAATTCTGAATGATGGAGTGGTTTAAGGAGGTATAAGACATTCTGAATGACTTGACTTTATTAAAAATTTTCTTACTTTCATGTGATATGCTTTTTCCTATGTATGTATGAATGTGTTAGATCTTTCCAGGAATTTAATGGGGACAAAAAGTATAGTATGAGAATAATATGGGAAAACTTTGAATGTGCATACATACATATGCTTGAGGGTACTTTCTCTCTGCTCTTTATTCAGATACCCCTGTCTTTTCCTTTTAGTCCTTGTACATAGATTCAGATACATTGCTTACCTCTAGTGATATTTGAAGCAACCAAATCTTTGCGGTCACCTTTGATCCTTTGATCCTGCTGCCATCTAGAGTTTCATGCCTTTGTGATTGACATGATATGTTTAAGACTCAATCCAGTTTATATTTGCAGAGTTTTATTTGGTGAAAAACTGCCCAACTGAAGATGACTTTATTTGCATTTCAGTGGTATAATCATCTTTCATCAGAGCACTTCAGTCTGAGCCATCCTTTGAGGAGAAATTGACTTTATATATACAGTGCTACATGTTACAGGCTAAACAAAGGATTAACCTTGAGATACACCTTCATTGTCCCCCTAAATAAACCATGGGTTATAGGCATTATTTTAGTTACCATTTGAACATTTGCTGTATGCAAAGTATTATCCTAAGTTATTTTCGCTTCTGTTAAGTCTCTTCAAAATGTTTGAGCTAGGTACTATTATCTCAACTTCCCAGTGAAGAAAGTGAGACAGGAAGATTTATTTATCTAAAGTCATATAGTGAACCATATTTCATATCTAGGTAATCCCAACTCCAGAGCCTATGTGCTTGTCACCCTGTACCACCCATTCCCCTGGAAAAATTGGACCTCTGCCTGTACTAAATAATAAGTTGAGGTAATTCTGAGGAGAAATGTGTACTGTACACAGCTAACCTCTGACTTTGATATGTGCTGACTAATAAGAAAATTCCAATTACTTTAAAGGATATATATATATATATATATATATATCTTTAAATTTATTTTTATTTTTATTTTTGGATGTGTCCCATTTTAGTTTTTAAAATATATCCATAAACTTGAGGAATAGCAAGTGCTAGCCAGTTGGCCTGTGCTGAGCTAAAGTAACCTGTGTAAACACTTCTGTCTTGTCTTTTTTTTTAGGGAGACATGAAGAATATCTTTATCCTTCAGGTCAGTGCGATGTAGATATAATCTGACATTTGCCATTGTTTATAGCACTTCAAGCTATAAAATAATGCTTCATTTTTTACTTTACTTTGTCTGTTTCCTTTAGAACCAGACTATGAAGCTTCAGGTATATATAGCACTACTACATCTACAGCAAACTTGGTAGGTACTAAATAATAATAAACCCTAGTAGCTCCTGTTACATACTGGACCTCTGTTGTAAGATATACATGTATTTAAATACACAGTTCTATGAGGTAATTAATGTGATTTTCATTTTGTAGACGAAATTGAAATTAGTTAAGATTATACCCCTTTTATAAAATTAAATTTTGAGAGATATTACTAATATGCATGGTTTAAGTGGAATAAGGAAATTCAGACATTAATGATCTGCTACAGAATTTTATTAGAATTTTTATATCTGTCATAATGGGTTAGAAATTGTACTTCCTATAATGAAAAATTTGCTTCTTGGTTGTATTACATATCCAGTGGAGAGATCTGCAAGACTCCCTCAGCTACTTTGGCTGATGGAGACTCCATCTCTGTGATTGCCAAGGCAAGAAATACAGGTGGTAGATTGTACACTGGCTCTTTCAACTTTAACCAGATATGTCATTTGTCACTTTCTTCTCTATTTCATTGGGCCCCAAAGTATGTCCCACTCAAAGTGCTAACTTCTCTGTGCCTGAAAGGCAGTAGATTGGAAATAACGTTAGCAGCAGTAAGAATAATACTCAATTTGATCGCACTCCCTTGGGAACAATACCGTTTTTTTTAACCTTAAATGAGGCAACCTAAAAGTCTCCATTCAATATGATCAAACTCAAAAACCATGATCCCTTTATAATATGTAGAACCCTTTATATTGGGTCCATATGTGGCTTTTCTTGATCTTGAGTCATAAACTTCAAAATACAGATTTTTCCCACCCCATCTTCAGAGTTTCATTGGTAGAGTAGAGAGAAACACATTCATAATACCCTGTATGTAGCAATTCTGGGATCTTTGTGATCATACACTATGAGGGCCACCAACCTATACATGAGACTGTTCTGTGGTTTATTGTTTGCTGTGGCTCTTGATTACTTTTAACATCCATCCTTTTTTGGCCATATTTGAAGTATACTATGGAGAATAATTGGAGAATAATCCTTCCTTGGTAACTGAGTGGATTTGTTGTCTTGTGCTCTTTACAGATTGAGGAGCACAAGGATTGGTCTGTTTTTACTTGAATAGATTTAGTTCTACGTCATGATTTCTTTGATCATAAGATTTAATTTTTCAGGTGGTATTCCTGATTTCTCTTGGTTTCACATAACCAAACTGACAGTTCTTTTTATAGGTTATACTACTTAGATTTGATACAATTCTTTGCTTTCTTATCCCTGAGTTCTTTCTACTTGCTTGAAAGTACCATGAGCCTATTGGTCATTTCTGTAAGAGCCATACCCTTTGAACACTTCTCTGAGGTATTTTGTCCAAGTGTAAGGATTTCACTGGGTAAAATTTCTTTAGTTGTTATTTTGTTATTTGAAATCTTGCTTTGAGACATCTTAGGGCACTGAGGAATTTTAATAGTTATTTTAATTCATGCTGTGAAACTGAGTTCTGATTTTTGTCCTCAAAGCATTAACTTTATCTTGTACAATTTAGGCTGAAATAATTCATTTCTGCATACAGATTCTTTCAATACAATTCTATTTGAAAAGACCTTACTGTATTCTGCTGGTAGTAATCAAAACATAATAAAGTAGTAACATTTGATTTACTAAACCACTTCCCCATCATAGTCTGCTTCCCAATTGGGTTTTTGTTACAATAGCACCTTACTTCTAAAATAGGTTGTGCTGTATTATTAACCCACTAAAACTTCTTGACATGTATGTCTAATGTAGGTTGATAGAGGGCTTCTGTTTGTCATAGTCACTTAGGCTGGGCTGGTGAACATATACTTTCACAATCAACTTAGCAAGGTAAAGAAAAGGAAATGAAACATTGATTATTAATATTATTACCCATGTTTCATTGTCTGAACAACTCACATGGCCATATCTCATGTCATATGGAACTGAGAAGGGAATTCCTACCATGTGCATGGGAGAACAAGAATCCAGGAGTGCTTTGTTACTAGGTTACATACCTGATCTTTATTTTTGAGACAGGTCTTACTAAGTTGCTGAGGCTGGCCTCAAGCTTGTTGCTCTATTGCCTCCGCCACCCAGGTAGCTAGAATTATACGTATGTGCCACCACACCTTGCTTGAACTGAAATATTTGTGGAAACACTTAAATAATTATTCCTTATTCTTATCATTAATATTAACCTTAGCTAGCAGCTTCATTGCTAAATTTTTGTTTTTCCTGTTCGGTGCATTTTAGGAGAAAAAAACTGAGACATACTTCTTTAGGCCTTCTTCTCCTACCTTTTCCTCATGGAGAGTGTTTTCCTGTACCGCACCACTAGTATTCTCATATAACATGCTTTCTATACTACCTCTTGAGATAGCCGTCCCAAATAAAAAGTCAAGTAAAAATATCAGCATTAAAGTAATGGAAAAGAGTAAACATTTCATTTCTTCTCTTTAATTTTTCTTCTTATATATTCCTTTTTGTTCTGAATTTACTTTATACACACCCCAAATAGATTTCAGTCTTTATGGTATGTTCCACTTCCACCCTCAGTCACCAAAAATAATTTCTGCTACTATGTTTTTTGTTGCCACCACAACCTCTCATGCATAAGCCCTCAGGCTTTAAAATCACATTCATATTCACAAACACAAGGTCTTGAACCACTGGGAAATAGTGTTTTGATTCTACTACATCTGTTATGTCCTTTTTTATTTTATTTTAATTTTAGTTTAGTTTATTTTAGTTTAGTTTAGCCTTTTGGAGGATACTAAGAATTGAACTCAGGACCCCACACTTGCCAAGCAGGGACTATGCCATTGAACTAAATCCCCAGCCCTGTGGCATCCCTTTTAGATAGAATATAGCTGAGTAGCCTGTTAACCCACTGTTGTCTCTCCCTACATCTTCAGATAGAAAACATTCTTTTAACAAAATTATTGTTGATTCTACTGTCTTCGAGGTAAAAAGGGCTACTGAGTAAAACTTTAAATTTCAGTACTCAGTTGTATTTTAATATCTCTATTGATACTACAGTTGGACGTGAGGAAGATCTGTGTAGTCAGGTATCAGAGTAGTTACCTACAGCAGATACTAGAGTTAATACCTTTCGGAGGATTGTCTTGGTCACTTCCAAATTCAAATTATATTGAGAGATCACTTTAGTTTTTGGTGTTGAATCAAAGAAGATAATTCATTGATTTGTAGTTGGTTTCTTGATTCCCCTTTATTCACCTATATTCTATATCACTAAAGTCTCTTCAGGACAGAAGACCATGTTCTATGTCTCCACAGGACACAGTTACCTCATACAACTATCACCAGAAGGTACTTCTTGTAGAGTAACCAAGCAGTCATTTACAAGTGGTCTAAAAGAGGAAAATTGAATTTTCTCATTTATTTATCCTCATCATATTTCCATGTTCCTTTAAGTATTATTGAATCTCGTGGTACCTGGTACAGTGATTAATAATTTCATTCAATAAAATTGATTAAGCATCTACTGTATTTCAGGCACTATTCTTTGTGTTGGTATTACACTGCTAAGTCTACTGTCTTATATGAGTCAGATAATATTTAATTACTTATTAAGGATAAAAGGTATCTGAAATCACAGAGTAAGATTATGCTGATAAAGAGAAGAGACTGCAAAGAGCATCTAAAACAGAGCCTGTGGATCACTAAATTTTAGAAAATAGGTAGAAAAGGAGCAGTCAAGGAGAAAAGAAAAGCATGAGAGTATAATACTGTGGTTGATTCAAGGAAGAGGATGTTTTAAGGAGCAGGCAAGTGTCAGTGGTTACCAAAAGGTCAAGCACCATAAAGATTAAGCAGTCTACTAGGGCTCGTTGCCATGGAGACTACTCGTTACTTTGGATGCAGTTTCAGAGGGCCAGAATAGGTAGCAGGCAATACTACATTGGGTGGTAAGGAAACGGAGGCTGCCACTGAGCATAGTCATCTTCAAGTTGCATTTTATTATCTCTCTGTGAACAGGCCTATATTGGATGTTGTGGGAAAGTAGGCTGTTCTTCTAAACAGCTTTGGCATAAGCAGAAATTGGAGTTGCATGAAAAAAAATGCAATGTACCTTTTCTATTTAAAAGTATTTACGTGGGAAAATAATGTATACATGTAAAAATGAATATATTCCAGATCTTTGGAATAATATGCAGGAAATTCAGGTTACCTGCTTGGGGAGAAGACAGCTAGTCAGATAAGGACAGGAGGGTTGGAGGGAACCTTTTTATTGTTACAATTTAACACTTTACTTTTGAATCATACTAGTGTACTTCAGAATAACATTAAAGTTCTCAAATTGAGGTCTTTAAAATAACCATTCAGTGTAGGATTTACATGAAGATGGACTTTCAGTGCTTTAGTTATCAAAACAAAATACTATTTCTTGAAATTTAGGATCAAATAAGAAACTAACACTGTTTGAGAAACCAAACTTAAAGGATTCTGAACTTTCTTCATACTTACAGATGATGGGAAATTCTGCAGTAATTGCAGCTTCCTGTGCCAGTAATGTTCCAGCTCCAGTCTTACCTAATTGTGTAGCAGCTAATCAAGCTAGTGCTACTTCATCAGTTTCCTCACAGAATGCTATACAGCCTCTATTCGTACCTCCTACTACACAAGGAAGGCCAGGTAGGTTTTTAGTGGTTGCATACTTTGGAAGCTTCTTTTCTTATTCATGAATAAGCACCTGCAATTGTTCTACTGATTAGATGGGATTACTTGAATTTCCAGGATTAAGTTTATTTCACTGGTTCTGTTGAACAATCTATAAGATTTCGAGACATATTTTAAGTTTTTTCTTGTTAATTTGGCTCTGGTAAGATTTTGTTTCTATCATTTGTTACCCCTGATTATTTAGAGGGCTTGTAATAGTTTCTAAAACTTTTAAGTTTTATAATAAAAGAATTAACAGAGACATTTATTTACAGAATGAACTTCTGAGAAGCTTTCTATAAAATACAGTACTATAGTGAATCATTTGTCTTGTGAATGTCATAATGAAGAATATTAGGCTCTAGAATTTAAGTTAAAATCTTGTAGGGTGGTTTTTGTTTGTTTGTGTATAGTATGGGGGATTAAATCCAAGGCCATTTCACTGAGCCCATTTTTGTTTTTCACTAGCTCATTTTTGTTTTTATTATTTTTATCTACATTTTTACTTTGAGACAGGGTCTTGCTAAGTTGCCTAGTTGCTCAGGCTGGACTCAGACTTCTGCCTTAGCCTCCGAGTGCTAGGTTTATAGGGATGCATGACCACTCTCAACTTAGAATTCTGGTTTTATAATTTACTACCTGTGTCATTTTGGGCAAGTTATTGAACTTTTCCTATCTATTTGCTTGAGAGTAGTGATGGTGCCAGTTCATTAGGTAGTTCTGGAATTTTAATGAGTTAATATAATTTAAAATTATCAGCACAATTTTCCAAAGGTTGTGGCAAGAACAGTATAGCTTTTCAATCTGAGTTCTGAAAAAAATTGAAATTGCAAAACAAAACAGACAACATCTGTTAAAAAAATTAGATGACATAGTATCCTCACGAATCTCCAAATCTAAGCAGATTAAGACAGAACACCATTCACAAGACTTGCATGCTATCAGAGTTTGTGTGGAAGCAAGAAACACCTAGGATGTTGCCTTACGGATCCAAGAATAGAACAACTCTATTTAAAAGAGCTATTCAGGATTCACTGGAAGGTGAGGCAATTTGGAAGCAGCAGTTAAAACTGGGAAGGGATTTGGTCTCTCCAATACCAGATGAATGAATGAGATACTTGGTAGAATGACTAAAAGACTTAGAGCAGGTTATCCTTTAAGAATACTCAACACAGACCTCCTAGGGCTGCCTTTTTAGGTTAGTATTTTTCCCCAGGAAGAGACTGCTAGAAATGAGTCCATATTGATCAGGATGGGAGAAAGAAGAGGCTCATATGAAAGTTAGGACAGAAAAGAGCCAAGGAATTGTAGAGTACTCATGTTTTTGAACAGTCCACAAAAATTGTAGGAGAGCTCTGTGAAGTTAGAAAAATGACCTTTTACCCCACATCATTCAAAAGTTGATAAAAAGTAATTTCACATAAAATAAAGTTGAAAACATTGAGGTCAAATGCAATGTACAGACCCTTTAAAGTGAAAAACGTAAAATAATACCCCTACAAAAGATAAAAGCATGTAGAAATGTATCTACTGAACAAAATTAAGCTCAGTGAATTAAAAACTTTTAACTATTTCAAATTGAGGTATAGATCCTAATAAAAATTAAAAATATTAACATATTAGGGCCAGCTAGAATTACTGGTGGTATATGCATGACTGTCCCACTAGATAACTTTTTATGTTATTAGTACATGCACGGCTGTTCCATTGGGCAAATCTTTATTTTATTAGTAAAAAAAAAAGACCAGTAAATGTGATTAAATCTGTCTGTATTACCAGTAATACAATCTTCCTGATGGACCAGTCATGTATGTACCACGGGTAGTTCAAACATCCAAAAGCAAGATACAGGAAATAGGCCCTCATCATGAAAGGTGTTAAAGAATAACATACGTGAGAATTTAAAAACTCATGTAAGGTGACAGAACTCAAGAAAGAGAAAAGGAAGTTAATCCAATAATGAAGACTAAAATTAAAACCCTGAGAAAATATATAGAACAAATTAAAAACATAAGAAAGGAGGAGTCTGAATAACTATTTGTAAGAGGACAATATGTAAGCATCAACCAGTGATTTCTTACTGTTTATTTTTTCTTTGAAAGTATATATCATTTCTGTTTTGTTTAGTCTTTCTTTAAATAAAATTTTTTTAAAAAGAAAGGAAGAGTTGAAAATTGAAAAAGTCAAATTCAAAAGTGACACATTGAAGTTAGCCAAAGAAAATCAAATACTAATATGTCCCTGAAGGAGAAAATTGAATGGAACAGAACAAGCTAAAGCTATAGTTTAGGAAACTATTGGAATTTTAATAGCCTTAAAATTAAAAGTTCATACTGAAACAGTACCTAGCATACTTGAGATTACTGGCCCAGAGCAGCCAGTTCATAGATATTCTAGTAATATTATTGGTCTATAAAGAAATAGTCCTTTTGACTTTTAAAATTCCAAGCTAAAAGATCTGTATAACATAGAAAAAATTAAATTATCAACTTAAACTTTAGTTCCTCAGTCACATTAGCCTCATGCCAAGTGCTCAAAGCCACATGTAGCTACTGTATTAGCCAACATAGAGAATATTTGTTTCATGACAGAAAGTTGTAATGGACAGCAGTATGCTGGAGAATGATCTTTGAGTTTCAGTTTACCAAAAACAATTACTGACATTAGCATAAGACCTGTATAAGTATTAAATATATAGTTAACTGTAGAATTAAGACAAAATGAAAATCGAAAGGTTGAGAAAGTACTGCTATTACTGCCTTGTATTTGAAGAAGGAATTTGTTTTTAAAAATGGGAAAATCAGCTGGGCATGGTGGCTCACACCTGTAATCCCAGCACTCAGGAAGCTGAGGCAAGACGATCATTGCGAGTTGGAGACCAGCCTGGATTACAAAGTGAGCTGAAGACCAGCCTGAAATGCGTATTGAGACCGTATCTAAAAAAGACAAAAAAATTTAAAAAATAAAAATGGGAAAATCGAGAAGATATACCAAAGCGTTTCTTATTGTTTTTAGCAATTACATTAGGATACTCATTGTGCACAACACCCAGTTTTTGTGATCTTAAAACACCACCTACCATTTAAAAATATAAACAGCTTGTTGAAGAAACGGCTGATTCCAGTTCTGGACAGGAACTGTTCAAGAGGAGTGTGGAGCTTCTTGTCAACAACAAGGAATTATTAAAGAGTTCTTGGGTCATGTCACAAGGACTCGGGCTATCTTGAAGAGATTTTCACTGGGTAAATATGAGACAGTTTGAGCTTCAACAATGAAAATTGTAGTAGATTGGAGCATTACAAATATGTAAAATTTAGAAGTTCCTAATTTTAAAAATTTGTCAGTTGAAGAGAATGATAGGGAAGTGTTTAATTTAAAAAAATAAAAAATGAAGTGAAGGAATCAAGGATTTATCCTGCCTTTAAAATATGAACTGTACCACAAAGTAACCAAATAATACTGTCATTTTCTTTTCTCTTTTTTATAGTAGATGAGGAAAATACCATTTTATATTTTAACTATTCAATGAAAAAAATGACAATATAGTAATTTCGCAGTCCTTTTTTTTTTTTTTTTTTTTGGTTGGATACACATTGAATATTAATAGCTCAGTGTGTGCTATAGATTCAATCTGGACTATATCTCCAAAGGTCTATGTGTTGAAATGTCATTCCCCATTATATTACTTTCAGGAAGTTATGAAATCTTTGAGTCAAGTCCTAGCGGAGGTCTTAGAGTGCAGTGCATTGGGGAATGCCTCCCAAGGGGATTAATGGGATATAATCCTCCCGTTCTTTCTTTGCTTCTTGGCTGCCTTGAGGTAAACAGCTTTCTCAGCCACTCACCCTCACTATGATGCACTGACTACAAACCTAAAAAGCAGTGAGGTCTCCAGATCAAAACTGAGGCAGAGGAATTTTTCTTTTTATGATTTGATTATCTGAGGAGTGTTACAGTAATGGAAGTCTCACTTAACACAGATAGCACAGGCAGACACTACTCCCTTTATATGTGCCAAAGAAATTATTCCTGAATCTGATTCGGCTTACTCAATCAAGCTGCCTGTTTTCAAGAAATGCAGAACTTACTGAAGTACACTATGTGTATATATAGTCACCTAACTGGGAGGCTTGCCAGGTCAAAGAGACTAAATTCTTCAACGGAAAAACTTTCTTTTTTGGTCTCGACAATTGAACTCATGACCTTGCACTTGGTAGGCAAACGCTCTGGTGTTGAGTTACCACAGAAGAAAAACTAAGAGGTTAAAAAGAGTTTTAAGATATCAAGGTTTTAAAGATGGGCAAGAATAAAAAACTATCTAGAGATACACACTTGGGTGACAACTAAGGAAGAACCCTAAAAAAAATGATAATTATTGAAGTTAGAATTGTTAATTATGGTAAGAGAGAAATGACCATGATTGAAATGGGGCAGATGAAATTTTTTGCCATGTCTGAGAAACTTGTTTGTTGACCTAGGTAATGTGTGCACTAAAAATAATTCATTAATGCAAATATTGAATTTACTTTCTGTATTACTCTCCTTTATGAATATTTAAAAAGTGCTTACCACAATGCTTGAGGGAAAACATGCAATAAACATTAATGATGTTAGAAATTTGTCTTTAGAAATGTCAGTGTGGACCTTGCTTGTACTACTATATACTAATTGTAGAGGAAAACACTGACTGCTTCAACAAATACCTGAATTTAAATATTCAGGTGACAATGAATCAAGCATTACAGTGTCACATTTATGTGGAATCATTGGAAACCTACTTTTGAGATGCCAGAGATTTTTCTGAAATTGTATACTGCCTTCATTTACTTTACTTTTTGTTTTTTGAAGTTAAGAACCTTATCCACAGCTCTACATTGTTGGATCCCACTGCTTTTATAGTTTTCTTTCTCATTCTTTTGAACCCTGCAAATTGCAGGGAAATGCATTATTTACTTTCCACTAATATTTTAGAAAATTTTACTTACATCTTTCTGGATTACTACCTTGACCTATACCTGCTAAGCCTATGGAGTCTTGTATCTGTTGGTAACTGGGAAGTATAAAAGCTTTTTTTTTCAAAAGGCTTATTATTGTAACATGCATTTTTGAGGAATATGAGTTTAGATACTTAGCTGCAAATCTCTTTTTCCTTTAATTCTCTCAGGCCTATGTGTTTATTTAGCTATCTTTATGTCTAGTAGTTGTTTTTTACCTAGTGATCATAATTACATTCTGTTATCTTCAACTAATTGACTGTATTTCATTTGCTCTTTTTTTTTTTTTTTTTTGTACTGGAAATTGAACTCAGGACCTTATACTTGCCAGTCAGGCATTATGCCACTGAACTATATCCTCGGCCCTCATTTGCTGTTTCAAAATATGATTTGAGTGAGTTCTAGTTTTAAAGGAATTAAGAGATTTTTCAAAGTCATTTGATAGAAAAATTACAGATTTAGAACACTGAGTATCTTCTAAAAATTCTTCTCCCCAGATGTGGTGATGCATACTTGTAGTTCCCACTATTCAGGAGGGTGAAGCAGGAGCGAAGCATGTTTGAAGCTTGCCTGAGTAATTTAGCAAGACCCTATCTCCAAATAAATAAGACTAGGAATGTAGTTTGGCGCTTCCTGGATTGAATCAGAATTGTTTTCATCACATCCTAAAAACTATTGGTCAAGTTTTAGATCACCCTAAGGCACAGTTCTCCTATTATCATTATCCCATTACTGTGTAAATAAAACCAGGTGTGGTGATATATGCCTATAACCCATCTACTCTGTAGGTTAAGGAGGAGGATCACAAATTGGAGGCTAACCTGGACAATTTAGCGAGACCCTTTCTGACATTTTTAAAGGTGGGTGGCACTGGGGATGTAGCTCAGTGGTAGAGCACACCTGGGTTCATCCCTAGTACTACCAATAAACTGCATAGATGAATATGTTATTATTAGTATTTGTCAGTGAATGAAAACATTGTGTATTTTTGTTAAATTCAAAATAAATTTAGCTAGTGTGGACTGTTGCTTTATTAAACTCAATATGTTAAGACTAATCTTTTATTGAAGTGAGAGATGGAACTTTCTATACTTCTTAGGACTAAAATTATTGTACAGGTATCGTAGGGATGAAATTTTGTACTTAAATCTCTAAATTGGCTAAAATGATGTAGTTAAATGATGGGTTTCATCGTTCATCATAAAATTCAACAAATTTAAGAGGCATATGTGTGTTTGTAAGTATTTTTGCTCAGTTTAGTATTTAAACATTATATTTTAATTGAATTTATTAAAAACTGAAACTCCTGAGTATTGTTTTTAAATTATAGTACCAAATATGGAAAGTTAAATGGATAAAGTAGTGTATCTAGCCTGCTTTGTTTTAGATTTTGTATCTCCTTAGCAATTTAATTGTCATAATTTAGAATTCTTTGTAGTTCTGTAATGTTGCCAGTAGCCTCTTTCAAGGTCTGCCAAAATCTATTATCATTGTGATTTAGTTCATCTTTTACTAACCTGTGCACGTTGAATTTGACACAGATTGCTGAAAATATCTTTATTTTCATTGAGTATTGAGCTACGTAATTTTCCATGTTTTTAAGTAAAGCCATGAGAATTGAGTTATTTGACCATATTGGGGACATGAAAAGAGTAGATGAACTATTGCTTATAAGGTATTGCAATTGTACATTGCTTTGTGTTTTGTTTGTTTGTTAGTGATTGCTTCACCATCTTATCAATACCATTCTGCTGCTGTTCGTGCTGCTGCAGCCTCTTTTCCACCACCACCTCCGCCTCCACCTCCACCTCCACCACCACCACCTCCTTTTGAGATAGAAGAGGCTTCAAATTTACCCCCACAACCTCCACCATATTCCTGTGATCCAAATGGCAGTGATCTGCCTCAAGGTAAGCAGATTGAGTTTTGAGGTTTTTATTTTGATTTTTGAGCATGTATTTTTGGTTAACCAATAGATAGGGATAGGGAACCGAATGGAAATTGACTTCAGAGTATAGTACTGGATAAGGAAAGAAGGAATTGAAAGCTAAGAGTTAAGGTTGTCTTCTGTGTACTTAAATGGATGGTTGAGTTGATTCTTGCTAATTTTTTTTCTTCTTTTTTTGGTAACTACATGTCTGGAGAGGATTGTCTGTTCTTTTCTCAGCTCTTCCTTGAAAAACATCAGTGATAAAATTTATTTCTTAAATTCTTTCCACAATCATAGGGAAGTTTTTGCAGTCTTCTATATTTGAGATAATAATTGAATTTTGTTTTTCTTAGTTTAATTAAATTTAGTTCATCTCTTATAACTTGTGCACTTTAGGATTTGACTCACAGAGTGCTGAAAATATCTTTAATTTGCATTGGGTATTGAACTAAGTGGCCTTCCATGTTTACCGGTATAATTTAGGTATGCATAATGATCATATTCATTATATGGAATTTGTATTTGTACATGATATATCTTGATTCTTCCTTTTTTCCATTCCTGTCCCCTCCCTTCAACTCACCTTACTGTCTCCATTCACAAAACTGTTTTCATTTTATCCTTCTTTTCTCATTTTCCTTCCCTCCCTTCCTTTCCCCTTTTTCCCTCCCTAGTTCCCTTTGCCTTTTGAATAGTTCCTTCCTATTTCCCAATATTTATTGTACAAACACCAAATGCACTCAACCACCTGAGCTTTGACAAAGGGGGCAAACAGTTTCACGTGAAGAAAGAGAGCCTCTTGAATAAACAGTGATGGAAAAACTGGCTTTTCTACATGCTGAAAACAACTGAATTTTAAACACTTGGACAGGCTTTTAAGGGCTCTGAGGTGCTTTAAAATTCAGTTGTGTGCTCTTATTTCTGAGTGATTTTTCCATTGGAAGTTATTCATTCAGAGTGGCAGTAGTGCTCGAAAGATGATTGTAGTTGAGAGTTGTTTGTAGCTTATTTATATTTTCTTGACTATCACATTTTCTTGATTTTTTTTTAGCTGCTTCTGTATTCTGAGTTTTTTCCAGCCCCTAAGGCAATTAACAGGCTGTTTTCCAAATAAATCCTGTTCTTTCGAGTGTAAATTTTCATTATTTTATCTGTGTAGTTGATACTGGTCATGTTCTCAGAAGTTTATTTGTCTTTAGTTATTTGCTAAACATTTTTACTGCTTGAGACCAAGCCCCAACTACTAACAGCACATTCAGCCATGAACTCTTCAGTGGATTAGTGCACTAATGTGTATAACACCCATAAGATCAAATCATCTTCCAAATACCCGACCTCTAGAACATATGGAGCTTTTAAAAATTTTTTATTTAAAGAAAGAAAGAATAAAAAATTAAAATTTTAAAAAATGAGAGAAAAGTAGAATACAGAATTTAAAAAAATTAACATCATAAAATCACTAGTTGATACATATTTTCATCTTAACAATAGTTGATAAAGTTATAAAATCAAAGCATAAAAGTGGTTAGGCACTCAAACATGGACAGTGCAATCTCTTATGTTCAGTGATCTTAATAGAAATTTAGTAATATGGTCATCTATCTTACATACTATACATACTGTTATATCCTTTAGAGCACTTTCCTTCCCTTTCACTTTTACAATATCAATTATACTTTTGGTTCTTGTAATTCTGTCAGTTCTTCAGTTCAGGTTTTTTGTTTTGTTTTGTTTTGTTTTTTGTAGCAGGGGTTGAACTCACGACCTCATGCTTACCGGGCAAGCACTTAAGCCACTGAGCTAAATCCCTAGCCGATAAAGTCTTTTTTTCTTTTTTTTTTTTTGGTCTTTTTCCTTTTTATCGGTACCAGGGATTGAACTCAAGACTGCCTGCTTGCAAGGCAGGCATTTATGCCACTGAGCTATATCCCCAGCCCAATTCTGTCAGTTCTTATTTTTTATACTAGAGAGACAATGTAGTATTTACTAATGTGAGTCTTGTTTATTTCACTACAGAGGATATTCTCAAGTTGGCTCCATTTACCTATAAAGGCCTGAGGATCATCCTTTTTTATAGCTGAATAGTATTTCATTCAATAAAAACATCACATTTTATTCATCCACTCTGTGGTTGATGGGCATTTTGGTTGTTTCCAAAATTTAGCTATCACAAATTGTGGTGTTATGAGCATGGGTGAACATATATCACTGTGACATGACCTTTTCAATTTTTCTGTGAAAATACCCGGGAGGGGAATAGCTGGATTGAATGGAGCTTCCAATCCTATTTTTTGAGGAGTCTCCATACTGATTTCTGCAGTGGTTGCACCAGTCTACACTCCCACCAACACTGACGAAGTGTTCCTTTTTTCCTGCATCCCTGTCAACATTTGTTGTCAGTTTTCTTGATGGCAGCCATTCTTTCCAGATTGAGATGAAATCTCAATGCTGTTTTAATTTGCATTTCTTGAATGACCAGTGATGGTGAACATTTCTTCATATATTTATGTGCCATTTGTATATCTTCATCTGAGAACTGTGTGTTCATCTCAGATGCCCATTTTTGGAGAGGGTCTTTGAATTTGGGGGCTTGATGTTTTTCAATTCTTAAATGTTCTGGATATAAGTCCTTTGTCTGAGGGACTGTTGGCTACAGTTCTTTCCCATTCTGTGGGTTTTCTTTTCACTTTGTTGGTGATTTCCTTTGAAGTCCAAAAACTTTAGTAGTGTAAGGTCCCAGTTGTTGATTCTTTGAATATTTCCCTTATAGTTTGCATTTTATTCATGAATTCTCTTCCTACTGTTATATCTCTAAGATTTTTACCTACCTTGTCCTCCAGTAGATTTAGTTTCTGTGTTAATATGTAGATCCTTAATCCATTTTGACTTTAGTTTAGTGTATGGTGATAGGTATAGGTCTATTTTCAGTCTTTGGCATGTGGAAAGCCAATTTTTTCCAACACCATTTATTAAAGAGGCTATCTTTTGTCCAGTGAACATGTGTAGCCCTTCTGTGAAATATAAGGTTGCTGAATGTCTTTATAGTAGTGTTTGTATCTTCTAGTCTGTTCCATGATCCTCAGATCTATTTCTTTGCCAGTACCGTGCTGATTTTATTACTATGGCTTTGTAGTATAGTTTCAAGTCATGAATTGAGAGGCCTCCTTCCTTGCCTTTGTTGGACAGAATTGCCTTTGCTATTCTAGGTTTCTTCTGTTTCCAGATGAATTTTAGGAATATTTTCTCTAGATCTGTAAGGTATCTTAATGGTATTTTGGTTGGGATTGGATTGAATCTGTATAACAGTTTGGGGAGTATGGCCATTTTTACAATTTTGGTTCCTCCCAACTAAGAGCAAGGAATATCCTTCCATTTTCTAATATCCTCTTCAATCTCCTTTTTTAGGGTAGTATAATTTTCAGCATACAGGTCTTTTACATTCTTGATTAGGTTGATTCCTAAGTATTTCATTTTTTTTAGATACTATTGTGAAAGGCACTATTTCCATAATTTGTCTCTCAGTGAAATTTTTGTTTGTGTACAGGAATGCTATTGATTTTTGAGTGTTGACTTTATATCCAGCTATGATGCTGAATTTATTACTTCTGGTAGTCTTTTAATGGAGTTTTTGGGGTGTTCTATTTGATTGTTAAACTGTGTACCAGAAAATGACCTTACCTATTATGGTAGGTGAATAGTCGTTTAGTATAAGGTCGTTAAGTATAAGGTAAAACAGGATTATAACAGTGTGAGGAGACTATAGAATACTCAAAGTGAAAGCTTCTAAATGATAATTGTGATTTCCTATATTATTCTATCACTGAATTAATTTTTTTCTTTTAGATACTAGAGTTTTACAGTACTATTTCAATTTGGGATTGCAGGTAAGAATGTTAAAACTGTGTTGATATACTTTGTATTCAAAATATAAACTGGTATGAAAAATAAGACTTCAGAAATTATGTTTTTATTTCTCCTATACTAGGAACTAAGTCGAGTGCCTTCACACTGGATTACAACCCCAGGCCTTTTTAAAAATTTTTTTGATATTGAGACAATATCTCATTAAGTGACTAAGTTGCCTAGACTGAGCCCAAACTTGTACAGTCCTCCTCCTCAGCCTCTGAGAGTGCTGGGATTATAGGCATACACCATCATGCCTGGCTTCTTGAACATTAAAGGTCAAGAATACACAAGTGTCTAAATTTTATTTCTAAGAGATATCTGAAGATGAGATAGGTCAGTTTTATACTTTAGCCTCTCAGTTGTTCAATTTTTCTTACTATAAAACAGTTGTTAAATTGAGGAAAATGAGGAGCTGGACTCTAAGCAGCACACTTTTAGCATATAGTACATTAGTGCTCATATTTAACATTCTATACCAGCCCTTTGCTATGTTGCATACTCAAAATGAATGTATCATTTATCCTGTTTATTTAAAGTATGTTTGTGCCTATTTCTGCATTTGATATGAAAGGGAATCAGACTAATTCAAAGATATTTAAATAGCTTTTTAAACCATTAATGTGTTCATAGATATTTGCCAAACACTGATTTTCATCACTCCTCTGAATTATAGAGGTGGGTGCTAACAAGTGTCTTGGTGTCACTGAAAAGTGTCTCTAGTTTGAGGTGAAAGCTCTTACTCTTTTAGGAATCAGTTTTCTTCTCACACAAAATTTGTGATACAGCAGGATGGCATGTTTACTATAAAAAAGAATGATGCATCTTAAGATTTGGCAGATGATGATAATAAAATACACAATTTCCTGGATAGTGCGCAGATAGTTTTTATCTCCAGACTATAATTTTCCTAAAACTTTAGACATATTGCCAGAAAATTGTCTTTCCAAGTAGTTTACATCTATAAATTGAGAGTAGCGGAGTAGGTTTTTCTTCCTTTGAGACTTTTTCTTGAGTTGTTTTCTCCTCAGTTGTGTTAGTTTATTATGATCATAGGTGGAAACTTAATTGCTTGTTCTAGAAGTCTGTGACATTTAAACTTATTCTTCTACACCAGATGCAATAGCACATGCTTATAATCCCAGCTGCTTGGGAGGGTGTAATTACAAGTTCAGGCTAGCTTAGGCAATTAAATGAGACACTTTCTCAACATGAAGTTTTATGAAAGTGCTAGAGATGGAGCTCAATGGTAGAGAACTCCTGTGTTTGATCCTCAGTGCCACGGCTTAAAAAACAAAAGGAAACGAACAAACTGAAAAAACCATTCTCTTATCCACACTAGGTGACACATACCTATAATCCTGGCTTCTCTGGAAGTTGAAGCAGGAGAATCACACATCTGAAGTTAGCCTAGGTAACTTAGTCTCTGTCTCAAATTTTTAAGAATTGGAAGCACTAGGTTGTAGCTCAGTGGTAGAGTATTCTGGGTTCAAACCTGCCCTTGGAAAAGAGAAAAGAAAAGGCTAGTTGAGAGCAGTGGCACATACATGTAATCTCAGCTACTTGGAAGGCCGAAGTGACAGTGTCTCTTGAGCCTAGAATTTGAGAACAGCTCTGCAATTGTTTGGGATCCCATTCCAATTTTTTTTTCTAGTTTTGATATGGAAATACTAGGAAATGTGAAAGAGGCATTTTTTTTTTTTAATTTTATTTAAGAGGAAAAAGAGAAATACACAAAACAAAACAAAGCGGTGTAAGGGAAAGGCATTTTTAAGACTTTTTATATTATATTTCTACTAAGGTAGAAAACCAAATTCATCCCTATATTTTGATATATTTCCTTAGTTTTTGACTTTTTAATGAAGTATGAGCTAGGCTACATAATTTTATATTCATTTAACTTAATGTTTTTCTTTAAATACTTGACTGTATAATTTTTTTATCTATATAGTATTGCATCATGGATACATAATAATTTGTTTGCTCAGTTCCCTATTGCTGAATATTTAGGCTGTTCAATAGTTTTGTTTTTAAAAATAATGCTCCAAAGACATCTTTGTATTCAGGTCTCTGTATATCTCGATTTCCTCAGTACACTTTCCTAAAAGAATTAGTCTCTACTTTCTAAATGACAGATGTTAGCTCCTGAAGTATAAGGTCTAATATAGTTAAGGAAATATACCACTTTAAGAATAAAGAACAGTAAAATTTTGTTTTGTTTTGTTTGGTGGTTTTTGTGATTTCTTGCTCCAGTGCTATCACCACAACTGTTGGCACTCTATGGTCTATGTGCCACACATGCAGCAGCCTCATATGGAGAATTACCCAATCTATACCGAGCCACCTCCTCTGATAGACCAAACTGTTCCTCACTTGTACAGTGAGGTAGGGAGAGCAGATGGCGCACAGGCAGACACATCAGTGAATGGTGAGTATGTAATAAGATTGCCAGCAAGAAAAATTTGATTTTATTGTGTAGAATTTAATTAGACTCCTATACTTAATACCAGCTGTTCTGAACATGATACGTGGACCCTTTGGGGTACCGGAAAGCCTTTCAAGAAGATTCATGAGGCCAAAAGTATTCACAGTAATACTTAGATTTTCCTTGTCCGTTTCACAGTGTGTTACATTTGTATTCAGAGTAGACAAGTCAGTGGCAGGCAAAACTTCTAGCACTTAAGTACATATTAAGGCATTACCACCAAACTCGCTAGTGATCACAGTCTTTCTCATCAACATACAGTTGGTACAAAATGCTAATTTCTTTTTGTTTCATCACAGATATTATTCTTATTTTTGCTAAATTTCTATTCTTGAATAATTGAATGTTGGTCATAAAATGGGAACTATTCATATACCTGCATAATGAATGAAATATAATGATTAACTTAAAAGGATTTGTGTTATTGATTTATTAAATAGCAGACATTTTTCATGAATCACATTTTTTACTTAAGAAAAATAAACTAGTATTTCAGACTGGGTGGATCTGGTTGACATTTTTTCAGATGAACAAAGTAAGCCTGTCACTTAAAGGAAGAAAAAATGGTAATTTTTGTTGTCAAAGAAAATTCCAATTTTCAAATGTAAAATGAAGAGTTTTGGAAAACATGGATCTACCATCACGTGCTTGATAGTTTTCTAGTAATTAAATACTTTCCAATATAACTTGAGCTATTAGTGAATGTTGTCTCTCAAATTTTATGACTGTGTTCACATCTGCAAGGTCTGCATAACTCAGTGAAGTAATAGTTGCCCAGTTACAAATGAAGGATGTTACCAGTGCCTGGTTTTGCAAAAAGAATTAGCCAAAGTGAAAGATAAAACAATGGATTTTAATGTAACAGTATGAAAAGTCTACATTGCTGCTTTTATTTGAGAAACTACATTTATATACTTTAGGTACAGCATCAAAGAATATCTACAATTACCTGATGTGCCTTTTTATTAAAAGACTTCTTTCCCAGCTACATATCTACGTGAGGAAAGAGTTCATCTCCATCAACTAAAACAAGATAGAATAGATTAAGTACAGAATCATACAAGAATCTGTCTGGTTCTATTAAGCTACGTAGTAGAAATTTTCACTAGAACAGTGACACTTTTCCTCACAGTTTTATTTTAGAGAATATTTTTAATACAAATTTCATTTTTGTTAACATGAAATGATTGTTTATATAAATTAGTAAATATGTTAAACTTTCTCATTTAAATTCCTAGTACAGTAAATACTCCTATCTGTTGCCCACATGGCAACTATTTGAGATTCTCAATTTTTAACAGTATAAATTATTCCTGATAATCAAAATGTTTGAGAGCCATTATGTTAGATCATAAGAATGCTTGCTCTAATAAGTTCAAAGTATAATAGGCATTTTGGGGGATTTTGAATAGGAGTTTTGGACTGCCCTTCTTAGAATCAGCAGGATGTGGAAAAATTATGTGAATTAACTAAGTTTGTTTCACACTGCAGCACTCCTTAATAATTGAGATACTGGCTAAGTTACTTCACCTCCTTGTGGCATGATTTTCTATAAAATGACTTGTGAGGGTTGTTATAAAAATGATTTGACACTTTATGTGTACTGGGTCTGGTACATACTGGGAAGGTTGATATCTTTTGTGTCTTCCTTTCCTTTTTTAAAGCATTTTAATAGTTGTGAAATATTATTACATTATTAGCACTAGAAAATTTTATTTATCCCTAGTGTGCACTATGATGTGGCTCATGGTAATACAGTGTCAACTTTAATTGTATTTTTGAACAATGTACCTTTTCTACATCTATTTTTAATTATAGTAAACCATGAAGCAATTGCAGTCGTAATTTCACAGAATGATCTAAACTCAGTTAGCCCAAGTAATGAAAGATTCCTTTTTGCCTAATATGTATAGTCTCTGTAGCAAGGTTAGAACAGACTTGTCATACAAAAGTGATGTAAAATAAAAATGATGCTAGTATCTCAGTATTTGTGAGAAGATACTTCTATGATGCTTAGCAGAACTGTATCTTCAAATATAGACCAAACTGAATAGACATTTGAATTTTCAGTGCTCAAGTGGTACAAAGTGATTATAGGCTATATGTAATTTTTTTAATTTAGAAGTTTTCATGTAATCTTTTGGTAGCTTCTTTTAGACACTATAAAATGCTCTTGCTGTGGTTGTTTTGGTGTTTCTCAAGTTAATATTTAATTTTCAGTTGTACAAATATCTATGTTGCACAGAATTCTCTTGCACTGAATTTTTTAATATAAAGTGTACTGTGTACATGCTTTGTTTCAGGTACTTTTCCAAATGCTGACTCTGCATCTATCCCTCATGGAGCAGTCTATTATCCAGTGATGTCAGATCCCTATGGGCAACCGCCATTGCCAGGTTTTGATTCCTGCCTTCCCGTTGTGTCAGATTATCCCTGTGTTATACCCTGTCATCCAGTTGGCACAGCATATGGTGGTTCTTCTCAAATTCATGGTGCTATAAATCCTGGGCCAGTTGGCTATGTTACTTCACCTCCATCATCTTTTCATTATGTACCTCAGAATATGTAAGATTCAGCATTACACAGTATTCTTGCACTACCATTTTCTTGCTATTTTGGTTTTTAAAGTTTTTTATGTTGATGTTTAAGTGATTTATGTGGCAAGAGTCTTTACTATTGTATATGTCTTTAAGATTGTTTTATCTTTGGATTTAAAATATTCCTTTAAAGGAATACTGCTTTGGGCTGTGAATGAGAAAATTAAGATGGATATACAACTAGCCCCATACTAAGCATATTTGTTTGTATTCAGTTGTTTTCCTCTGTCAACCAGCTTGTCATCTTCGTATTATTTGAGGGTGCCAATTGAAATAAATCATACAAATTATTTTCTTGGCTCAGAAATCCTACAACATACTAAAAGTTCAATATTATAATCTCTACTTTTCTAGAAAATAAAACAGCAAAATCAAGAGCCTTTGCTTCTGGGTAACTTAATATTAAATAAGAGAGTTCTTCTAAGTTTCTTAAGAATTGTATGACCTGAGTTGTATTCTGTGATATTAATCAGTTTTGAAGTCATATGGTGCTCTGCTTTAGATTTATCCCATATGCTATTGTTTAATACTGGGTTTATGTTACTTTTACTGCACAGTATTTAACTGGTGTCCTTTGCACAGTTAGCAGTAAATAAAAACTAGCATTTAAAATTACCAAAATGAGTGTGATTTTCTTTTTTTCTTTTTTTTTTTGCTTTTTCGTGGCAGCAGAGAGTGTACAAGACATTTGCTTATTTCAGAATGTTTTTCCCTGGCATTTTGATTGCAGAAGAATGTGAATTTATAGCTTCAACAGAGTGGGGGTAAGGGTGGTTTCAGGGCCACTTGAAATGTTATTTACTCTCGGATCAGATACATACTACCATTTTTAGCGCTTTTCTCTTGAGAATGTTCCTTTTAAAGTTACTTGGTTTTAGCTTTGCGTGGTAGTGCATGCCACAGCACTTGAGTAGCTGAAGCAGGAGGATCACTGCAAGTTCAAGGCCAACCTAAACACCACAGTGAAATCCTGTCTCAAAACACTCAAAAAATAAGCCACAAAATAAATGTGTGACTATTCTAATATGGAAATTTTAATGTAGACTGGCTTTCTCATTTTTGTGTATCCTGAATAGTTGTCATATTGTGCTTTTTTTGGTTTTGTTTGTTTTTAGACCTTTATCTCAAGGCCAGGCTTATGTGAGATACTTTTCATCAACCCTTTTTGCCTTCTCCCTTTCATCCAAAGACCAGATCTGTATTAATCAATTATCCTCTGAGGATTAATTTGTCCAGAATTTTTCCTGTATCTCACCTGACAAACATTTTTAGTAAGTGTTTTTCAGTTCCCACAAAACCTATTTATCACTATCATCTTCTTAAAATATTATACAGTGGTACCTCAGTTTGCACACACTTTTGTTTGCAAACTGCATGGGGTGACAAAAATAACTGTAGACTTTTCCCCCCAAATTATAGAACAAATTAAGTTCATGAACTGAGGTACCACTGTATATACCTGTGAATCAGACTATACTTTCACCCCTGCAAGCCATACGCCCCGCAAAAAGAACTATTTGAGACACTGAACCTTGCATTCAAACAGTATTGCACTGATGTGGAATCCATTACAAAGAATCTTAAATCTTCTCTTCAATGTCTCATTCTCAAGGTGATTGACATTAATAGATCCCAGATAAACCGATATACTACTTAAAGAATTCTACTTAATAATACGACATAGCGCTGTTTGGAGCTTTTGGTTTTTAAAGCGTTGTTCTACAAGAAATGTAGAATGGCAGTATACTGATCTTTACGCAACTCTCTTATAATGTTTTACCTGTTTGTCTACTAACCTCTTGGTTGAATTTCAGCAGCCCACAGTCAAGCTTAAAGCATGGAGCAACCCTTCTCCAACATTTTTTAATGTGCTTACCCTTGTGAAGGAACCATAATTTACAGCAAATGATTTCCTGTATCTTAAACTGTCAGTGGTTCACTAGCTTTTGAGGGGATGTTTTAGAAGGTTATTATCCTTTCTTGAGAATATGGGTCTGAACTTTGGCTGGTTTTGAGACAAATTACTTCTGCCTTGGGTTTCTAGTTTTTATTTCAAACTTGTAGGTTTCTACCTTTCCTTAAATTTAATTACCAGATAACACAGTTTAACTAGGTGATTGCTTTGAACTTTCAAATCTGAAATTAATGTGTATACTAAGTTGACCTAATTGTTAACCAAGTGACTCTATAGCATTTGTGGTTTATTTAAATCATGCAAATATAAGCCCCTTTGCTTGCTTCTCTAGTAGGAGTAAGTCCTTTCCCTCTTGTTGTTTTGGGTGGAGAGAAATGGAGCTGGAATAAGCTCTACTGCTATATTAAGTCTTCAGTTGTTCTTGGGGGCAGCTGCCAGATGTAGCTTTTCTAGTAATTAATAAAACCCAAAGAGAACATTGTAATTGGCCTATAGCACAAAATAGTGGTAGGCTACTTCATTTTACATATTGCCTCCCCTTGTCCTTGATATGACAAAGATGTACTCTTTCCTCTACTGATGATCAAATTTCATCAATTTAGAATCGTTGGGAGAAGGAGATATAATGGTACTGTGATTTGTTTGGGACTCGTTATTTCCCCGCCCCTTATTGATACCATTTGGTTATACTAAAGGTAAAAAAATGGATAATTTCTGTAGCAAGGAAAAATAACTAGACTTCATTTTTATGCTGTATGTATCTTTAAAAGAAATTAAGAGCTTTCTGTCTTGATTAAAAACATGAAAATATTGAGTATTTTACTGTTCAAATTCAAGACGTGAATTTAAAACATCTTTCCTTGGAGCCTATAATCAAGGCATAACCTTTAATTAGCCTTGTAAATAAAAGATATAAACATCATTTTTTTTTCAAAGTGTGAACATCAGACATTCAAAACTTGGTTTAGATATATATAAATCTTCATACATAACAAAATAGTCCATTTGGGAGGGTAGGCATGAATGAATTCAAACTTTTCTAAACCTGAGGCAAATTTAGTCTTTTACATCAAATCACTAAGGGAATTGTTATACCAAAAACAGCCTCCTCTTTGCTACTTATTCTACATAGAATATTAAGTTTTTGTAGTAGCAACTTGATTTAAAATATTTGACTTCTAGCTCAACTGTCCCTGTAATACTTTTCAGAGATGTGAGGAATTTCACTTCGGGAAAAAATTGACTTAAGTTTGGACAACTTTACTGTATTATTAAAACTGCTTTAGAATTGTTAATCTGGAAATTGCTTCAAAGTATTCTAGGCATAAACTTTATAGATAAAAGATTATCACTATGTCACTGTAAATCATTGAAACTTGGATCCCTTAAGCCATCCTCTTATTTTTGTGTTTGAAATGTTTCCCAGTTAAAATTATCTTGGTAACTGGCCATCTGGAGAAGAGATACTTATGAAGTTAGAGTTCAGGTTTTTGAAAATGTCTTGAGTCTTGAATTACAAGATTTTACAGCAGCTGTCAAATAAGGCCTATAGACTTCTTGCTAAGACATCTAGGCGGTTGGGGGAAGCCTAGAGAATAGGAAATGGTTTTTATGAAATTTTGCAATTCTCAAGAATATTCATTAGTTTATATGTAAAACTTTTTATTGAATACATGGTACTCAGTTGTATTTGAAACTAAATGGAATGAGCCATTTCAAGTTTTACAGTTTCTGTCATTTTCCTAATAATCAGCAATATTTTTAAATTTATTTTTTTTCTCCTTATGATTGCCAGAGGGGATTTTGGAAACCAGGGTATCACTGACTGACAGACTGCTATTTCCCTGGTAGGTGGTTCTTGCCACTATCTAGACATTTTATGAAGCACAGGAGTTTCAATAATACTGAAGTTAAATCAGTTATTAGGAATTTAGTTCAGTCAATGGATAAAAACATTGAGATGTATCGTAGTGAAATATTATTAGATAATAGTAGTCATTAGTGTTATATGACTAGTCAGTCCCTTCATATAATTTACAAAGCTCCTCTTGCAGACCTTATTGCATGTAAAATAATAGGCTTCTCAAATTGTTTTCAGAATCATAGAAAAAAATCTACTCTAGCACTAGGTTACTAAAGTACTAGAGATAAATTATCATATTGTTCTGGATATCAACCACATAAAAGTGAAAATTTTTACATCAGTAAGCTGTGTAGTATTCAGTTGTACTGCTTGTTTCAACAGTTGAACTTTGTTTTTATTTCTTTTTTCATTTTTTCTTTTTCTTTTTTTATAGCTCTGGTAAAATAACTTTACCCAAGAAATTTTCCTGGTTATTATGAAGCATGTCATAGGTTAGGGTTTTGTTAATTTAATTCTTTTCCTCTATTCACTGCTTTTTTCCCAATATTTTATTATGAAATATTTTTAATATACCGAAAACTGAAAGAATTGTGCAAGGAACAATTATATTTACCACCTAGATTTAATAGTGAACATTTCACTGTGCTTGCTTTTTCACACATCCATCTATAAATCCTTATTCTTGAATTTTAAAATTCCAGACTTGAAGTATAGTACACTCCTAAGCATTGTGGCATGCATACTGTTAACTAGAGTTCAGTATTTATTAAAGATGTTTTTCTTTTGAGATAAAGTTCACATGCAGTATAGTACAAAAATCATAAATGTTGAGGGCTGTGTATGTTGAAAAATACAACTTTGAAGGGCAAGCGTTTTCAAAATAAGTTTTATCACTTCCTCAGATCCTCCATGCTCCTTCCCACTTAATTTGTGATACTACACTCATCCCCCAGTGAACTGCTGATATTCCCCCTAGGACAGATTACTTTTCATTTTTAAAAAAACATATAAATAAAAGTGTGATTTGGGAGTAGGGTTTCTTTTTGTGATGTGTCCGTGTGTGTTGATAGTATGTTCTTTTTTTAATAGTAGTGTGTGGGTATGATACAATTTGTTTATCCAAATTATTTGTCTGGATAGACTTTTGGGAACTTCCCAGTTTGTAGAGATTGTATTGAACAGAACTACTATGAGTATTTTTCTAGAACTCTTCATGTGAACATTTGTTTTTATTCCTCTTGGAATGAAGAATTGTTGGGTCGTAGGTTGGGTGTATGTTAAATTTCATAAACAACTGACATCTTCCCAAAGTGACTATACCATTATACTTCCGTCAGCAGTATATGAAAATTCTTTGGACATAATATGGTTGTTTTTAAAAAAATTTAGCCTTTCTTGGTGGATGTGTAATAAGCACTATAATATTGTGGTTTCAATTTGCATTTTCCTGCTTATATTTTTCAAAGTGAGCATGTTTCTCATGTGTTTACTCATCGTATACATTCCTTTGTGAAATATATTCAGCACATTTCTATAGTTTCATTATAGGAGTACTTTTTTCCCCAGTTTCAAATCTTTCTCAAGTATATGACTAATTTTTCAAATGCCCTTATCTTGTTAGTGTGTAAAAATTATAGACTGATTTTCGTAAGTAATTACACCAGAATCTAAGAATGAGTTAGTTGAAAGTTAAGCTGCTTTAGTATGCTAACCAGTGGTCTGGGGGCCTAAAAGTTTAAGTAATAAAATGTGAAACAAGAAAACTTTAGGACTTTGAATTAATTGTGGGAAAAAGAAATGAAAACACTTGTATCACATGGGTGTACTAAGCTTATACTGGTGTGACGATGACCGTCTTAACCTTGGTTTATGTTTTCTACAGATTCAAATTGTTTTGTACAGCATGTGTCATACTTTGTGGTACTGAATAAAGAACAAATTACTACTACGATCATACTTGTTAGTTTTTTCAGTGTTGTATACTAGCTTTATAATTGTATTGTCCTTTATCATCTAATAGTTTTTATTATTACTGAATTGTTAAATATTTAATATGGTTTTGTTTATTGAGAAAAAATTAGAATGATAATGTTCTCAACCATTTTAAAATATTTTAGACTGAAGAAGTTGTTGGTTAGTGTTTATGCTGGTCAAATAGTGTGAAATTCATTGTTATTTATGAATGTTTATTGATAAAAGTTAACTATAAATGATTACATTGGAAAAGAGAAACAAAACACTAGGTAACAATACATTTGGGGGGGAGTAAATGCTTTATTTTTGTTTATACTGAAGCTAAAAATACACAAATTATTGTACAAGATTCGTATTAACACAGTAAAGGTTGACACCAATGTTGCACTCCTTACAGAAAATATCTAAATAAAAGTAATAGTTACTAAAGAGGTTTAAGTAGTCTGCCAAGTCAAAATGCTATTTGCACAAACACATTTGCAAATATCGCTTTTTATGACTTAAGCTCCAGTGATACAATTTTAACCTTAAATTTGATCATAAACATTTTCTGTGTGGTGATGTATGAGAAACCACCAATTAGACTGGGAAAAGGAATTAAGCATGACCTTTTAGTGTTAATATTTCTCTTTCCTGCTATCAGCTACTGACCTGTGGCTCAAAACTGTGTTCATTGTTGTGACTAGGAAGAAACTCCCCATCAGTTTCAATCCCATTTTTGAGAAATCCTGAAGAAATAGAATCCTTTGAGAAGTTAAAGTATTGCTTTCTTCTTGAGTACTTCTGTGTGAATCCTTATGATAAAAGAAACAAAAACAATATATTTTCCCTTGAGAAGGATATGTTTGTTCTTATCCGAACTGAAATGTCTTGGAGAAAGTATGTATTTTGTAATAAAGTTGAACTTTGAACAGTTAATTTCAAAGGTAAAAATTTATCAAGTTGCATTTCCTTTAACATTAAATCACAGAACCTTTGAGTTTAGAGGTTAACCCTTTGGGTTTTATGGATCTCCTGGTTTCCACTGACCTTGTTAGATAATGAGAATTTTAACCAGTGCTCCTCCCCAAGGATGCCAAGTACAATTAACACTCTGCTTACTGGACTACAGACAACTTTGCCTTGGTTTCTTAAACTGATTGCTTAATAGATGACGTAAAAGGAAGTTTTTAAGGTGTGGCCACAAAATGTTGAAGCTGTATGTTAATTGCTAGATTTTGTACAGAAAACACCTACTCTGAACATGTAAGTTTTCAGAAGACTCAAAATTTTATTTAGCTGCTGTCTTCTTATCAGAGCCTTCCACTACTTTTTGCTACCATGATTTCTTGAGTCCGAATCCCTAAAGGATGGAGATTTTTCTTTACTATTACCTCTTTCTGATTGTCAGGACCTCTGTGTTATAAAATGCCATTTTTTGTGGATCAAATAGATATGGAGAGCCAATTCTCAGTTTGTTACATCAGCATTGAAATTCTCATTGTGTTTTACTATTTAAACATTAATGTCTCAGGTTAAATCATCCTGATTATTCCCAGATCAATGAAAATCATGTACCTAAATATGTTATCAAAAGTATTTTGAGGAGGCTATAGAATTTATCCAGTAAGGCTGCTCTGCTGCAAGCACGTTTGAAACCAGGTTTCACACTACAAATGGAAGCTAGCAAACTTTAGAGGGTAATGGAAATACACTATCTTAACCTGCGTGGTTTCAGGAATACATAAAACTGAAAAATGACCAAAATCCTTATTGTGTAATATCACTTGGAAATTGTTTTTTTAACCAGGAAATTACTCAATTGACCACCCAAGATTTTATTAAAAAAGTATCTAAAATTTGACTTTTTTAAAATTTATAGGATCATGACTTTCTATCATTGAAGATATTCAGAGATTGTATGGCACAGTTTCAAAGTTCTAGAAGTGTAAGTCCAAAATGAGATAATTGTAGCATCGTTAGAACATGGGTACAACTTCTTAAGGTGACTGCTTTGAAGAACATACATTTTGGTACACAAATTCTGGCAAGTTAAAAATGTTGATCTCACTACTTTATAATCCCACTTTCTATGCTTATTCCAAGTTTATGAGGCAAAATATGACACTAGATATATAATCTGGCTTTTCTTCCAAAGTATCCTCCAAATTTTAGCTTTTATTTCTCTATAATACATAGTTTTAACAAATTCATTTTATTTTCTGTATACATTTTGGAGAAATCAGTCATTCCAGTAGTTGATCAAAATGTTTGAAGATTTGTGATGTTGCACAATTTAAAATAAAATGTTACTATAGACTGGGTATGTTGAATTTATGAATATAGGGATCACAGGTGTAAACTTGCTACTTTCTGAAATTTAACCCAAAATTTCAAAAATTATTTCCAGAGCTAGTTTTCACATATTGCTGCTGTTCTGGATTTGTTCGAGAAGATGATGTTAATACTTTAATCAAAGTACCACTTTTTTTTTTCTTGTGTGTGTATGATGGGGGAGCTCACACATGGTTAGGCAGCTGCTGCACCACTTTGCTGCACTCCCAACCTCTAGAAATCACATTTTTAATCAATTTCATTTTAGTTTGGTATCCAAGAAGTTTAATAATTTGGTAATTTAGCTCTATGTTTTAAAGTGCTTACCAACATTTGTCATATGATCATCTATGTCTTCCAAAAACTTAGCCAAAATCCAGAGCATCCCTTTTGTCTTGCCTTTCAAAGGTAAGTTTTAAGGGTTATGTAAGACTGGAAAATTGTCAAGGATAGGTTGGAAGGCAATTAGGATCAATGAGTATTTGGGGAATACATTAAATTTTATGGAAAAAGATATGACCAAGAACAGTTTAACAGTACTGCAAGTGATTTGTTACTTTAAGCTTAAGTAAAAGGTATATTGCCATCTAGTCACTGAAATACTACTGAGGACAGTCCCTTGAGTTGAAGTATAGCTCTTGAGATGGTATATTATGAGTGAAACTCCCTAAAGTCAAAGGGAAAGATATGCTGCAGATTGGTGAAAATGACCTTTAGGCAGTTTTTCCCTTCAGTTAGTCTTTTGATTCTATGAAGTTACATAAGATTATAAAGGCTTCTTCAGAGGTTGGGGAAGATATATGGAAACTGATCACAATGATCAAAAGTCCAAGGCTCTTTATCGTACTACAGAAATTGTCATTCGTGTGTGTAGTAATGGGACACCCTATAGAGCTTTCACAACTTTCCACATCAGATAAGTAGCTTTGGGTACAAGAGTAGTCGACTTAATTTTGAAATGTATATCTCAAAATCACAAACACCTCTGAACCACCAAATCTCTATTGAGGAAAATCTGGACCACGTTATCAGCATTATGATGTGAATAATAATATTTCATATGAAGTAAATCTTAAGTATGATGACTTTATTTTGTAAAAATGTATATTTTGCTGGTAAGTTCTTTTTTTCTGACTGAAATGTTTTTTCCCTTAAATCTAGAAATTCCAAATCCTAATAGCTCTCCACATAATAGTTATCCTACAGAGGCTGCTGTCACAGCAGCTCATTGTAACAAAGCCTTAACATAGCTCAGAAAGTATCTTTCTATTGAAAAGTTATGTCTTCCTCCCCTCCCTTAAAATGGTCCCATAATTACCAATAAGGATGAAAGGCCAAGGTCAGATGAACCAAATGCTATTGAATTTCAGAGTTTGTGTGCATATGTATGAGTATGTATATACATTTTTTTTTCCTTTTACAAACAATTCCGCTAAACCAAAGCAAGACAAAACCTCTATCTATTGGGGAAAAAAAGGTACTTGGCAATACAGTCAAACTAGTATTTAACTGTACTAATGTGAGACTCTAATTGGTTTCCCATGGCTAGTTCTATACCAACAAAGTGGATATTCATAGCAATTAAAACAAAGAACCTAAAATACCCATATTTTTGAAGCAATGCTGCAAGGGGTAAAAGGGACTTGTGAAGTCTGTATGAAGAGGTTATTTAAATGGTCTGAAAAATTACATCAATGTACACTGACTATTCTAAACAATCTGTTTATTAGCATATTTTGATAAATTACCAAAGTAATATGTTCAGTTGTTCTTACAGTTGTTCTTAGTGTTAAATAGGAATTTCTTCTCAACTAAGTACTTTTTACCTGATGACTTAACAAAGCAATGTCTAGGTTTCTAAGTGAAAAGGAAACCATTTCAGTTTTGTTTGCAAAGTAATATGAAGGCCAAGTGGTTATTTTTATATGTTCTAGACAAGGTATCAGAATGTATTATTCTCAAAAAATTTCCATTAAGATGGTCGGAGGAAGTTTGCATTTACATAGCAACTATAGAGTTCTTTTTTAAGACAATATTTTTATTATGTCATTCCAAAGGTGGAGGCTCTAATCTCTTAAAAGCTCCTTTAATCAAACTGAATAAGGTAAATGTATAGATATATATGGGACTTAGCTGAAATAGCCTAAGTAATGAAATGACATGAAAGTCAGAAAGAAATGGAAATTATTTTCATATTCTCATGTATGTAGAAATCTGAATTGGAACATTTGTATCTCTGTAAATTTTGGCGTTTTCCAAAACCAATAATTTTGAATTTAGAAATCTTTCTTCTGTGTTTTTACTTCACTGCACTTAAAACTGGAGGGGATACCTCAAAAATGGTCACTTTCTAATTGGACATTTTATTTGTAATACATTTACCCTAATTTTCATAAAAGATTTTAATTATAGGTTCAAATAAATGAATTCATGGTGTCTAGAAGTTGTACAAAAGTCAACTGTTAATGGAGGTGAACCATAGTGTTATTTTAGAAAATTAAATGATTCTTACAATTATTTTTGACTTTGCAATACATTTTCATTTCACTGATATGAAATGTTTGGAGTTCACAGTGTTTTAGGTAAATGGAAAAATGGGGCTGGGGGTGTAGTTTTATCTATGGAAGGGTGCTTTCTTAACATTTGAGGCCCTAGGTTCAATCCCCAGTGCCACAAAGATAAAAAAGCAAAAGGGGGGAAAAGGTGCCTGTAATGACCGTTTAATTTACACATCTATAAAACACATATGCTTAACAATATATATATATATATATATATATATATATCTTGTTTCTATAATCTAGAAAATTTTGGTTTATTGACCTAACTCTGTGACCTTGAATAAGTTACTATCTTTAACAAGACACTGATCCCCACACACAGGAACACACTTTTTCTACTTGTAAAATATGAAGTTGAAATCAAAGTTCTACTTTAGCTCTAACTTTTCATGTTTATAAATTTATTGTCAAGTTGACTTATACCTTTTGTGAGTCATAGAACATACTTAAGTATTTTCATTTAAAGTATCTTTTGTTAGGGGCTGGGGATTTAGCTCAGCGGCATAAGCGCCTGCCTTGCAAGCACGCAGTCCTGAGTTTGATCGATGGTACCAGTAAAATAAATAAATAAAAATAATAAAAAAATAAAATACCTTTTGTTTTTTTTTCTTTGTGCAGTGCTGGGGAGAAAACCCAGGGCTTAGAGATTTTCAACAAGTGATCTGAGCTATATCCTCAGCCCAGAAATGTTTTTTTTGTTTGTTTGTTTGCTTTGTTTTATTTTTTGGGTTTTTGTTGTTTTGTTTTGTTTTGGTAGTAGCTGATCAGGAAGATAGAAAAGTGAATGCAAATGTCTTTCTCTTCCTTTCTTTAAGTAGAATTAGGCTTTAAAAAATGTTGGAATGACTAAAATGGAAGTTAGGGCAATAGCTGTTTAGCTTTAACCATTCATGAGGCCCCTTTAACTGCGGAAGTCACAAAGTCACACTAAGAACAGAAAAGGAATGTACTCTTAGGAAATATGACACCAATTTCTTTCCATAGGAGAGGTTGGCTTCTGTGTTTTATATTTTCACTTTAGAATGTAACTGAGAGAAGTCTGTTTTAGAACATAATCCATATCTGTCTACCATGTTTTCTGACAAAATGATAAAATAACTACTAGATCAGTTACACCTATTATCAGAAGTACATACATTTGTAAGAAAGAAATGTTTTTCTTTCAGTGGAAGAGAGTTACATACTGAGAAGTCTTTTGGTGCCATCGATACAACTTAAGAATACATCCCAGGTTCTGATATTTTTCAAAATGAATCTGACAATTGGGAAAGTTAAATCTGTAACTTAGAAACCTTCCTTTTGGAAAGTAACCTGTTTTCACATCAGAGCCTGTTATGATTGCACTACCTAGTGAAGCAGGGGAGAAGTTAGATTTGAATAATTGAGCACTTCAGAGATGATTAAAGAATAATGGAACAACTGCTTGCTGTATGGGTCTTGATGCAGCTTGTTCTCTTTACTTTTTCCTGCATCTGAGTTTTATTTTCAACACTTTCTCCTGAACCCTTTCACATTTACTCTTCTCCAGGTGAAATACTGACCATCAGTCACCAACACTAGCAATAGAGATGGGAACCAATTCAAATAATAGAAACTACACTGTCAAAAACTAGTTGAAGACATTCATATTGTTTGAAAACCTCATTTCACTTATTTAGATGGATTTTCATTGATGTTGACATTTAAAAGAACAAACAGGGCAGCACCTTTTTTCTGAGCTATGCATTCCTAATTTAATCTTCATGAGCTAGAATTGGTGTTTCAGCTCATGTTAAGAGTGTAGATTGGTGAAACGTGCTAATATGGGTAAACACTCTCAGCAGATTATTGTTCAGTGGTTATCAGGTCTAAAATGATGACCATCTGCATTGTGACTTCATCCTTTAACTTAAACCTTTGTATTCCAATGAAGCTGTGGGAGATAATTTGTTTGCATGTATAAATGCAGATTTCTTTGAAGATAGTAGAATTTGGAACACATAGTTCCATGAGTTTACTAGGGTTGCTATGTTGCATATCTAACATAAGTTTACGCATGCGATTCTGCTTACCCCAGTGAATATTAAAACTGCAATCTGAATTAGATTATCTAAACCTAAAATTGTGATTTTTTTCTCAGAAATCAGTTAAAGTGAAGATGCTCTTTTTTTCTCAGATTTCAGTACTCAGGAAGATGTCATTTTTCTGATAAAATATTTCAAATCCCATCTTTTGTCTTACAAATGCCTCAATTGCAATTATGATTAAAACTGTCAGCAGTGGACAGGACCCTATAAATATACCAGCTAATTATTTTTACTAGCCAATGTATGTGATGTAGTGACTATTGGTTAGAGTGCAGTAGAAGTTTTACAAAACAGTACACATTCTAAATACTAATTACTATCAAATTTTAAAATGTAAGCTAAATGAAATACACAAACAGGAAAGAAATTCACCTAGCTTATCAGATATGACATTCTATAGGGCAAATATCTCGTCAAACATTAAAAAACATCTTTAAGAAACAAAATAGCTTCTACAACAAGAAGTTGTAGTGTTTCAAAACAAAACAAAAAGGCCAGTTAAATCTAGAAATCATAAGCTGACAATTTTTTGGAGTCTAATCAGCCTCCCTTTGATGCTGTTCATTGAACCAGCATGGGCAGCGTGTAGAACGGCAACAGAGATAGGCAGGTTAGTTTGCCTTATCTGATAGCTGGTGGGAACTATTGACCACATCCCTCAGCCCTGTGGGAAGCTGGCGTGAGATCCTGAGGGAGGTCAGGAATCTGTGCAGCAGCAACAATAGCAAAGTGGCACCTGGAGCTTCAAGAAAACAAGGGGAAGAAATGAAAAAGCAAAGCAAAAGGGTGAAGCACCCTACTGTACCTTTGCTGATTAGGAGCATTACCCCTTTAGTTATTGTGAGATGGATTTAGTGTTTGTGGTTACCAAAAGGCAAATCATAATAGAAAACAAGAACAAAATGTAGAATGTAGCTTTTAAAAAAGACTGAAAATAATAAGAGTTTCACTCTCCTAGGGGGGGCAGTGAGGGAATTATATTCTATGTCACCTCTGAGAGCAAGGAAATTACAAATGTTTTTTGAATTCCAGGACATGTGTTAGGAACTTGACTTAGAGCCGAGTTGTAACTTGTTCTTCCTGTCCATCACCCCATTTGTGCATGAGCAAGTCACAAGCCTCTCCCCAAGTTTCAAATACATCCTCTGAGGAGTCTAAAAGTTTAGAATTTGAGGAACAAATGCTGGATGCACAGTGAAGAGAGCTGGAACAGGCTAGAGGGCATTCACTGCTCTGAGCAGTGCCCCGGACTTCATCTAATTCTACCTCACTGAGGTTCATTTCACTTTGAGAACACACTTCTGCTTTCCCTTTCTCCATCTGAGAATACCTGATGTCCTGCCACATATAGTGCTGCTGAACGATTCCATCAGAAATTGTGTACATTGGCTCTGAACTGGGTTCAGACATATGACCATTAAACTTGGAGAATAGGAGACCCAGTTTCTTGAGGGAAGGACCCATGAAGGAGCGTTTGCTTGATGACTCGGCTTTTGACTTCCCTTGGGTACCGCTGGCTCTTGGCATGGTTGTAATGAGAGGTGTCCCGTGGCAGGCCTTTCTCTTGCAGCCTAAATTGAAAGAAACACTCTTGGATTTGGCCCGAGCTCCACCACTGCCATCATTGGTATCATCTTTCTGAGAGAGTTCAGTGCTGCTAGTGGAAAAGCTTCTTCTTGGGTGTTTTCTATTTCCTAGGAGGTCAAGCACTTCATATCGAAAGCTAGAAATGTCCTGCTTTAATTCCTAGAGAGAGAGGAGACATGTATCATCAAGCTTGATCTTTAGTTTAAAGTAGGCACATTGAATACTCTTTAGAATGCTCTAGGCTCTGTGTAGTCTCAAACCACAGTATCAGAAGTATATTACCATACATTAACATCAGAAGTATCTCCCATCACTCAAGTGCAAGAAAAACATATTAGTAATTCTGTAGCTACTTGAAAAGTCATGCAGTGGGTAAACCTGATTTTAGAGCCTCCCTGCTGGGGCAGACATTAATAGACAAATCCCTAATAAAGCATTAATTCACAATTGATGTATTAGATTTGGGCCTGGCTCTCACAGCTATCTACATATAAAAGGATAAGTTAAGAAAAGGCTTTTAGGACTCAAGAAATGAAACTAGAAAAGTGCAGTATCAGGTGATAAGATTGCTGTTTTCAGATAGTGGACCTTATTCTTTCAAGTCCCTATGCAATATCTTCTCTTTCTGACTGCTTAGATATTAGATTGTTTCTTTTCAAACTGTTTTCAAAGCTTAAATCTCATTATGTCATCCCCTTGCTTAAAACACATTAGTAACCTGTCAATGCCCTTAGAAAAAAGTAGAAATGCTGCATCATGGACTATAGGGATTTTCAAGACCGGTTACCTGTGAGTCTCTAGTTTCCTTCCTTATTCCTCTTTTCCTAGTCTTATTCCTTATCCCTTATTCCTCTTTTCTTCTTTTCCTTTTTGCTACTGTCCCTCTCTATCCATATGGATATATTGTCTCTCACCTCTGGGCTTTTGTCTGCCTGAACACTTCTCAACTACCCCTTTATTTGGTCCCTTTTTCAAGTCTCGGTTTAAGCATCACTCTACTTGGAAGCCCATCCTAACTTCCCAAGGTCCAGTTCAGTGTTTCTCTGTATGTCAGTAGTGCCTTGTGTTTATGCTATCCAAATACTGAATAATTTGTTACTTTATATTATTATTGCTTATCAATCCACAAGAATAGAGGCCAATTACATCTTGCTCACCACTACAACCTAGCACTTAATAGTTAGTGTGCTTGGCACGTAAGCCCTCAACAGTTGAGTTATATCTATGGATTAGAATGGTAGCTTTCTTACGTGCCTTAGCAAAAAGGAACATGTATATTCTAGGCTGCATTTTTCAGCCTTGTCACTGCTGACATGTTGGGTTACATAATTCTTTGTTGTGAGAGGCTACCTTGTTCATTGTTGGATATTTAGTAGCAACCTTATCTCTAACCACTAGGTGTCAGAATGGGAACATAAAATGTCTCCGGATGGCCAAATGGGTGACAAAATTGCTCCTGATTGAGAATCACTGTTTTAGATAGGGTTAATAGTAGGGCAGTTTTAAATGTTTAAAAGAAGAGATTCTTAAGAGATTAGATTTGATATTTTTTTTTATTTTTATATCTTTCAGGCAAAGAAGGCATCTAAATCTCTAGGCATTTTCTAGGCATGTGGCATCATTTAAAGCATGTGAATTCCCATACTGAAAAATACCCAGAATGTTAAAAGAATGAAGAGGACACATTATTTTGTTCAAAAAACTTATTGTGCAATAATACACATTGATAAAATCTCTCCAGTGACTGGATGACACATAATTCTAAGAATAAGAATTATAGCTGGTTTTGCTGTATTATAGGCAAATGAAATTCCATTACTAGAGCTAAAATACTGTGTGAATATTAAGTGATAATTAAGAAATGAACAATTAAGCAGGCATGATGAAACAAACCTGTAATCTGAGCATTCTGGGAGGCTGAAACAAGAGGATAACAAAGTTCAGCCCAGCCTGGACACATTAGCAACTTACCGAGACACTGTCTCAAAATAAAAACGACTGTTATGTACTTCTGTGATGACAACAACAACAACAACAACATAAGAAGAAGGAGGAGAGGAAGGGGGAGCGAAAAAGGAAAGAGGAAGAGAAAGATGTGAGAAATTTAACTAATCAATAGTTAAATTACCTTAAAGTTTTCTTCTGTTAGCCCCTCATTTGTTTTGGAATTTCTTATCATAGCAGCCACGTATCTTTTGACTAAATTCCTAATAACTTCCTAGAATTAAAAAAAATTTGAAGAGGCATTCAGTTTCATTCTCAGGTTCTCAGTGAAATAAGAAAACCTACATGGGTAATAAAACATACTTAGACCATTTTTGCAAAGAAAATCTTCACAAGATCCAGTCATTTTCTGTAAACACCCAGGCACGCAAACAGACACACAGATTACCCCCCCCAACACACACAAAGTTCATTATCTAAATGACTTATTGTGTCTCCCAACTTGGTGGCAAAGTATTCATCAGATAGGAAGGATTTCCATCCAAGCATAAGGTAAACAAACATGCATTCAAACTTATAGAATAATGAGAATAGAATAACCTATTATGGTCATAGTATTTTTTCCTATCAGTCTGGATTTAACTTTAATACTCTTAGTAAAATGGAGAGTTTTGGGGGCTAGGGATTTAGCTTAGTGCACAGGCTCTTGCTTAGCAAGTGCAGGATCCAGAGTTCAATCCCTAGTATAAAAAAAGCTGAAAATTACTAAGTCTGGTACTAATTATGTAGTCAGGATATTTTCTTACAGTCAAACTACACTTCCTTATAAGGAATAGCTATTTCTTTTTAATTAACAAGGGAAGATGGCTCACACATGTCACTATGATTTGTATTAGTTATTGGGATAAATTATCACCTATTGCAGTGTGTCAAGCACTATGCCATGCAACACACATACACACACCACTCAACTTTCATGACACCAGAAAACAAGTTTTGCTATTATTCTAATGTTATAGATAAGGACTCTGAGGTTCAGTGACATTAATTGACTCTTCCAATATCACAGATTAAGTCAATATAAAATTTAGAATACATGTCATAATCTAGCATGGACAATGTATCTAAAAGCATACTTTGATTTAATATAATTGTTTTATATGTTTTGTATGTTTTTGTCCCGTTAGTCTTGATATTAATCTGTTTTATGACAATTTCATAATAACTGATAAGTAATCTGATGCTGGCAGAAAGGGTAGGTGGACGGAAAGTAGGAAAAAAAGAATTGAGATGTGCAATATACATGTATCGATTCCCCACAATGAATGTAATCATTATGTACTGCAAACATGTACTGATAAAAATTAAAAATTAAAAGGAATAATCAAATGGCAAAAAAATTTAGAATTTGATTGTACTTCAAGCTTACTTCAAGGGCTATAGTAATATTACCTAATGCTATACTTATTGTTTCTGATATTCTGTAAACTTAAAGAAGTCCAATTAGCAATTTTTTATTTTTTATTTTTTTTTAATTTTTTAAAAATTTTATTTAAGGAGAAAAAAAAGCAGAAAAAGGGTACAAGTTATACAGATTTACAGAAAAAAATAAACAGTAGGAAATCACTAGTTAATGGATTACATATTGTCATCTTAGAAATTATTGTTCAAGTCACAAAATTAAAGCTTGTAGAGTGGACATTCCAACAATGATACTGCAAACAGTTCTGTTCAATGATCCAATAAAACTCAGTGATATCATTTTCTATCTTATACACTTAAATATACATGCAGTTATATAGTTTAGAGCACTTTCTTTTCCTCTCTTTTGTACAATGACTATTACACATTTTGGGTTTTATTGCTCCCACGGTTCTTATTACTTTTTTGGAAGAGAGTAAAAACAAATGTGACATAACAGAACAGAGTCGGTCAAATCAAAAGGGTGGACATAATAGATAATGTGAAAACATAATACAAGGTGATCGACAATGGTTACCATGACTGTGAAGTAGAGACTGAGGCAGTGAGTCTCGTCTGTGATTCATTCTGTGAGAAAGTATGTAATAAGGACTGGGGGCAAGAGCAGTGAGAGAAGGGTCATCTACCACATACTGTATTCCTTATTTCTCTTGTTAGTTATGGCCTAAGAAGAACAAAGTTAAGGGAGTAATCTGTAGAATAACATTGAATTTCCTTCACATTTTTCTTCTGTGAGTTTCTTTTCATCAGGAAGAAATTGCTGTTTCTTACTTGTGATTTGTAAAGGTTACTCTAAAGAATTATCTCATGTAGTTGGATGCTTGGTTTTCTTCTGACTGTGGTGTGTATCTGTTTCTTTGATTAAAGTCATGTTTTAATTTAGGGAGACCTAAATTCTTGACATTCAGATAAGCTTTTGCTTTGTTGAGGTTAATTTTCTCCTGTTATATATATTCATTATTTATTATGCAAGGTATGATTAAAGCATAGGGTAAATATTTAAATTTTTAAAAATTATTGCATTAAAAGAGATACTGTTACTACTCCTCCTCAAAATACTCCCTGTGAAGCGAGGGGAAATGTTTTGATGAAAATTAATGGCAATGTGTCTTTTACTATAAGAATTTTAAAAATTAAAACATTCATTACATATTTTGATCACACTTTACATATTCCCACTACTCTATGTTTTTGTCCATAAGAGATTATACCCTTGTAATCACTTAATTTTAGTAGTTCTAATTATTTGAGTAATGTTTTTAATTATTGCTAGATAATAAATTTCATAAGAATAGAAAGACTATGCTTTCTTCTCTTTTTCTTTTTGTCAGTATTGGAGATGGAACCCAGGGCCTAATACCTGCAAGGCAAGTGTTGTACCATTGAGCTACATCCCCCAGCCCAGATTATGTGTTTTTTTCATGATAATATTTAGCATAGTGTTTGATGTACAATATGCACTCAAATATTTGTTGACTGATTAACCACATCCCTATTTTACTTATTCTCAAGGAAGTTAGCTTTCCAAATTATGAACATTGCTGCTCTAGCATAAGTAGTGTTAAACAGCTATTAACAGCTTTTAAAGCAGACAATTTCATTTTGAGGAGTTAATTCAGCCTTTGATGGATTACAACCTTTGCAAGCTTTATGTTGTTTATTTCACACAGAGGTCTTGGACAGATGCATATAGATAAAAAGTTTTTGATCTATTATATTTTACTGACTATATTGCATTCATTGTTATAAATGAAACATCATTAACCAATCTCCCACTGTGGAATATTTAGGTTATTACCAATTATTTTGATAGTACTAGCCATGTTACGGTAAACAGTCCTCTTTATGTATCTTTTTGCAAGTATATTGATAAGACATAGTTCTAAATGTGAGATTACTAGGTATGTATAATTCAGACATAGCCAGAGAGTTTGCTTGCACTCCATAGAAATACTGAAAAATAATTATAGTTACTTGCTGTATGGAAGCCTTACCTGATAATGTTGATTTTGTATCAAGCTGTCAGCATGGCGTTCCTGTAATGGAAAATGGAAAGAAAAGTTACATCAGCATTCCAGAATCCTACCAACCCACGCCCATTCAAATATATTTCTAAATATTAAGATTATAGAATAATACAGGAGCTCTTGCCTGACAAACTCCCAAAACATAAGAAGGTTGGTGATGTTATGATGTTCAAGATAGGAAGGAGGAAATAAATTTATTTAAAAAAGAAATAGTTTTAAAAAGTCTTACGGTGAAGTTTCTCAAGTTGTGTCTTCTCCTTCTACCATCAGGATCTCTTTTAGGGCAGAAGGTATTGTTGAACCAGTTACCAAGATATAGAAACGATTTGGGGCTGGGGATGATGTTGAAAGGAGGTGGCAAGGTGCCTCCTTCATCAAAGTAACTCATCCAGAGCTTTGTCCTTGCAAATTTCCACTCAATATCAGCATGATCCTATGGAAGAGAGAAGTTTAAAGTTTTCCATTGGGAAACTGCAAAATATCCTTATGTCTCATTCTAAATTTTCTACTCGCTTCTGTAAGGGTCAATCTGTCGGTAGTTACATAAAATCAAATTAAACATAGCTATCAATTCAAATTTTCACCTAGCTATTAATCCCACATTTAGAACTATGTTTTATAAATACACTTGCAAAAAGTTACATGAACAGGGTTGTTCATTGTAGCATGGCTATTAATAACAAAACAGCTGGTAATAATCTAAATATCCAACAGTAGGAGACTGGTTAAATGATGTTTCATTTAGAACATGGCATCCATTAATGTAAGTATTAAAATATAGTGGATCATAAACATATTATATACAATACCTGTGTGAATATAAATGCATTTGTCCAAGATCTCTAAGTAAAAAAGAAGTATAAAACACACTATGTATGCATGCAATGACCTCATTTATACAACTTAAAAAACTTTATATTGCATATTCTCATGTTCAAGGTAGGTACATAATTAACTGTCAGTGTCAAAAGTTATTTTTAAGAAGTTGGGAATGAGGTGAGGATGTGCCTACCATCATAGTCAATACACATAGGAACACATACTTGTAGGACTTTTAAGATCTGTATGAACTAATGTAATCACTTCCATGATCAGGATATATGACAGACAGTTCCATCACACACTGCAATTGACTGATATTACCCCTTTGTAATCATACTCTCCCCAAGTCCTAGTCTTTGGCAACTGCTGCTTCTTCTCTTCCTATAGCTTACCTTATTTGGTTGGTAACTTTCTGAGACTGTTTTATTTCGCTCAGCAAAACACCTTTGAGATTCATCTATAGTTTCATATGTATCAATAGTGCATTCAAACACTGCTGAGGAGTTTCCCATTATATGGCTATACAATGGTTTGTATATTTATTCAGGCCTTGAACATTTGGGTTGTTTCCAGTTTTTAGCAGCTATGAATATAAGGCTTCTATTAAAATTCATATACAAGTTTCTGTACAAGTACAGGAGTGGCATTGAAAAGTCATGTTATGCATCAGCCAGTGCGCAGAGAGCCAGACAGATCTGCCTCTGCCAGTTGGGCACTGCCACTGGACGACCTCTTCCTGCGGTCAGCCAGCTTGTGCAGAGAACCAGTAGATCTGCCTCCACCTGTTGGGTGCCGTCACCAGAAAGCTTCTTCCTACAGGCAGCCAGCACAGGCAGAGAGAGCCAGACAGATCTGCCTCTGCCTGTCAGATGACACCACTGGAAGGCCTTTTCCTATGGGCAGCCAGTACAGGCAGAGTCAGACAGATCTGCCTGTACCTGTTGGACACTGTCATGGAAGGCTCCTTTCTATAGGCAAGCAGCAGGAGCAGAGACACACATCTAGGTACGCCTCATGCACCTGTAGGGCCACTAGTGGAGGCCCTCGGTTCCTACAGGCAGCCATCACCCACCAGAAGCATCAGACAAACATACCCCCATGTGCCTGCCACCACCGCAGGAGGGCCAGTGTAGACTCACGAGCTGAGAGAAGCAGCCCTACCTCCACACATCCCTGATCACTGGGGAAGTCCCAGTATAGCTGCATAGGTCTAGAGAAGCCCACACCATGCCCTGCTACCACCTTGTAAATCTGGGGTTAGAGGAACCCAGGTGCCTGTCCCATTCCCCTACATGGCAGAGGGGCAGCCAATGTGGGAAGTACCTGGGGCCCCACAACTGGCTTGTTGAGAGGAACCCAGGCGAATGTCAAGATGAGGAGCAAAAGGCAACTCAGACCTCCAGCCCACACAGAACAAGTCTGGGAGACACAGTCTTAGAAGAAAATGGAAGTTACATACCTGAAATCTGAGAGGGTAGCAACTGAAGTAAAGAAACAACTTTATGAGATTGTGAAAGCAATCAAATCAGAAATTATGGCTCAGGTAAAAGAAAAAATAACAAACATACTGAAAGAATTTCTCAGGATGTGTAAAGAAGACATGGAAAAAAGAGGAACATAGGAAAATGATGGAAACCTTGAACGAATATAGAAAGGAATTACAATGCATGAAACATTCAAAGAGAGATCCAGGAAATTAAAAAGTCAATCAAAAGCTGGAAAAATTGCTTGAAAGAGACTGAAGATAGACTTTCACACCTTGAAAATAGGATTGAAGCTAGCAATCAAGAAAAATCTCTTAAAAATAACATGGAATCAGAAAATAACAATTCAATGTCAGCAAATGACATAAGCATAATTTAAAAGTGGTATCTGTCAGTGAAGAAGCAGGGATCAACACAAATGAACTTAATACAGGAGTAATAGAAAACTTTCCAAACATGGGAAATGGATTTAATATGCAGATAAGTGAGGTACATAGGACTCCAACTAGCCATAACCAAAAGTAAATCTATACTTAGACATATAATAATTAAGATCCCAGAAATTCAGCAAAGAACACAATATTAAAAGCTGCTAGAGAAAAAAAAAAAAAAACAGATCACCTATAAAGGAAAACCAGTGAGAATCATGGCAGACTTATAAACACAAACCATCAACTCAAGAAGAGTTTGGAGTAAATTGTTTCAAACCCTGAAAGGAAGCAACTTCCAACTCAGATTGATATAACCTACAAGGCTATCTTTCAAAATTGATGGAAAAATAAGATGCTTCCATGATAAAGACAACTGAAGGAATTCATGACTATTAAACCAACCCTACAGAGAATGCTAAAGAATATTCTAGAGAGAAAAATGACCATGGTCCCAGGAACAGCAGCAGAGGAAGATCACCAAACAAGACAGGCAATTGAGTGAAGGGGAAAAGTAGAGGGCCAACAACAGGAGGATAGCAGGGCAGAGACAAACCAATGTATGCCAGTTGTAACCATTAATGCAGATGGCCTCAGGTCAGCAATAAAAAGAAACACAAGGAGAGTGGATTAAGAAACAAGATCCATTGATATACTGTATACAAGAAACACGTCTAACTGGAATGGAAATTCATAGACTGAAAATCTAAGGAGAGAAAACAATTAATTGTTCCATGTGGCAGGAGGCCAAAAAGAAAAAAGCAAGAGTAAATTGCCTATCAACCGCAGAATGGATAAGAAAGAAATGGTATTTTTATGCAGTGGAAAGCTACCTAGCTATAAAGTAGAATAATCTCAAGGCTCTTGTAGGTAAATGGATGCAGCTGGAGATCATGTGCATGAGCAAAACAGTTTGAACTCATACACATGAACCCTAGTGTAACAAACAGAGGAGTTAATGGGATCTGAAAGCAAAAATAGTTATTGTAAGTGATGAGAGAGGAAACACCTGGGAGGGAAAGGTGGTAACTGCTGTTAATTCTTACTGCATTGTCTTGAACTTGTTTGTTTTCACAGTTTTGTAAGGTTTGGCTTTTTCCCATCTTGTTTTCTTAGATTTTACTTTGTCTGATGCCATGGGCAGCTATTATGAACATAAGGGAGTGTATTATGGTAATCATGGTTGGTTTCTTATTTTATTATTTTGAAATCTTATAATGCTTTCATTCATTTGTTTAATCGTTTTTATTCTCTCTTGTTTTATTTGATCTTATTATGTGTGATGGTATGAACACTATTTTGAAGAAAACAAGACATTATGGAAGTCATTGCTGATTTCCTATCATCTTGTTCTGAAGTCCTATCATGCTTTTGTTCTTCTGTTTTGATTGGCTCTATCCTATTATGTGTGATAATATGGACAACTTTTTTTGAGGTAAATGAGATATTATACTAGGTATTGTTCATTTCCTGTTGTCTGGTTTTGAAGTTCTGTAATGCTTTCATTCTTTTCAATGATTTTATGATATTTTGTTGTTTGATATTATTGTGTGTGAAGGTGTGGTCAACTATTTCAAAGAAAACAAGAAACACTATGGTAGCCACTGTTGTTCTATTGCCTTGTTGTGAAATACTGTGTTGCCTGCATTGTTTTGTTTTGATTTGCTTTGTTATGTTTCGTTTTAGTCTCTTTAAAATAAATAAAAATTTAAAAAAAGCAAAGTCATGTTGCAAGTCTATGCTTAACTTTATAGTAAATTGTCAAACTGTTTTCCTGAGTGATCGTACCGTTTTTCTTTTTCATCAGTTGTTTTATGTCCTCCTCAGTGCTTTGTTGAGATTTTAAGATTAGCAATTTTAACAAGTATATACTAGGATCTCATTACAGTTTTAAATAGCATATCCCAAATGGATAGTGATTCTGAGCCATCTTTTCATACATTTGTCATCTACATGTCCTCTGTGGTGCAGTATCAGTGCAGATCCTCTGCCCACTTTTACTGGATTATATACATACTTCTACATATGTGCATGATCTTCTAAATTCCTAGGAGTGTGCTGGAAGATTACAAATACTATCTGTGGATACCAAATCCCCCAAATTTTCCTTTACATTTTTGGTCAGTCTTTTGTTAGCTATTATGGTTTAGATTTTGATGTCCCTCAAGAGTCTCATAATCAGGGCTTTTGGAAGGTGATCAGATTTTGAGGGCATTATGGCTAAATTGCTGTTAGGAGTGGGGTCTGATTAGAAGAGACAGGCCACTGTGAGAATAGCCTGGAAGGCTGTATCTCCTTTCCCTGTTCATCCCTGGACTCTGCTTCCCCACTCCCATGTCATAAGCAGCTTTTTCTCCTCTATGCCCCTCTGCCATGCCGCCCTACATTAGAGCTAGCTAACTATGGACGAAAATGTGAGTCAAAGTAAACCTCTCCTCTTTTAAATTATGGGTGTCAGATGGAAAGTAAGACTCCTGCCCAATGGGTTAATTGCCTCAGGCAGCTGTGTTGTTAAACCATTGTAAACTGTGTTTTAAAGAAACATCCTAGGGACAGCCTTCTCTGAATAGAGTCACTTAAACATAATCCCTGTAAATGGGCTTTTCCAGGGAGCTTCTGGGATATAGCTCTACATTCAGCCTCCAAAATGGAATATCAGAAAGAAGGAACACATCACTGATGTATTATTCTAGCCAAAA